ATTAAACTTTTATGAGAACAAAAGTAGTGAATGACTTTTTCTTCAAACAGGTACTTTTTGTTGTCTCAAAGAAAGAAATACACCCATGAAGCAACTTGTTCTTCTCAACAAATTACTTTCTGTCATTTACAAAGAAAAAGTGGGGGAGAAAAAAGGAAGAGGAGATAACCACTACAACTCTCAAATTGCAGAATAGTAAAAGTAGGTCATAATTATGTTTTATCTGACTTATATAAACATTACCTCAAATATCTTGCCTAATGGGGCTAAAATGCTATAATCATTCACTCATATTTTTATAGAGGCATTATTTTCTTTTCTGGCCTATTTTAAAGTGCAAATGTTTCCAGGAAGACTGATATATGAAAGAAGGCTGAGGCTGAGGGATCATGGCTTTCTGGTAGGCAGAACTGAGAACTCAGATCAGAGACCAATCACTCTGTTACTTACTGAGGCTACCTCTGTTCAGCTATGGGTTTTACCTGAAATCAAACCATTTGCCTAAACTGTAAAAAGTAGAGAATGTCCTCAGTATTGAGGCTGAGGCACTTTATGTTCTAATTATTTCATAACACAACTTCCTTTGGTATTCCTCTGTCTTTCCATCCACCTAAATACGTCAGCATGCACTTGAAGGATTTGTGGGCTGAATAACAGTCCTGCATAGAACCTGGGACCATTTGCCTTATGTGGTGGATGCAGTTATGGTGAGGATCTTGCCAGTGGAAGATTTTTCTGGAGTATACAACTCAGATGTTGGCACCAAGATTCTTCTATGAGGGTGGAAAGAAGAATCACAGAGGGCAGAAAATGTTATGCTACTAGCTGTGAAAAAGGAGAAAAGGGACTATTGAACCTGGTAAAGATAAATTGATTCTCTTAAGTGCCTGCAGGAGGAACCCTGCCCAGTGGGCCTAGGATAGTCCTGACCTAGGATAATGCTCTTTAAGGCACTCAATCTTGACAAGCACAAATAGATTTATGAAAGCTGTGGCTTTAAAAAAAACCTTTAATATCTTATTACAATTAAAATGAAATCCAATTGTCATAATGTGAAGTGTCCAGCCCCGCCTGATCTGGTCTCTGGGGCTTCTCCAGCTTTATCTGTCTTCAATAGTCCTTTTGAGTCTGACTGCCTGGAGGCATATTTGGTTGGCACCATTAAACCTTTGTTTGACTTTAAAGAAATCTCTCTAGTCCTTGGTATCATCTTCTATAAAATGCCTCACTGGGTATTGAAGATCAATCCAGTTATTATGGATAAACTTCCTGGCACTGCTCTAAACACAATATGAATTGTTACATAACTGTATTGTTACTGTGCTACTTGTTTCATTCAAATAGTTTTAGTCCCGAATACACATGGAGGAATGGGTGGGTGGGTGGATGGATGGATGGATGGATGGATGCAGTGTTGCAGTCACCAGTGCTCTACATGCACCATTGCTTTTCTTTCCAATGTGGAGAAATGAATTCACTTCACAGGAATACACCCAAAACTTAAATGAACATTGAGTATGGTGGGAGCCACATCTGGCAGCTAGATGCATAGAGATCAAGGGCTGAGATCTAATCTGTGTTGAAGAAAGATAAAACTGAAGAAATCTCTAGCAAACACCAAAGGGTGTTCAAAGAAACATTTAGTAAGATTTCAAGCTGCCATTATATACTGATATATCTTTGTGAAATTTTTATCTGACTTTTCTGAATTTCTTCCAATATTATGTTGACTTCTAAATGAAGAAGTGTATTAATGGCTTTAGTGTTTCTGTTGAATATCACAAACTTGCCCTACTAGAACACTCCTTTCAGGACATGGTGGTATACTGCTCTAATGTGAGAGCTCAGAAGGCAGAGGCAAGAGGATTGCTTTGGGTTCCAGGCAGGATATGTTGACTACATAGCGAGTTCAAGGCCAGCCTGAATTACATAGCAAGACCCTGTCTCAAAACAGACAAATAAAGTATTCCTTGCCTCTGATCATTATTTTGGAGTATACAGTACATACTTGTTTCAGTTACTCTTCTCTCATTGCTAGGAAAATACCTAACACTCAAAATTAGGGAAAAAAAGGTTTATTTAGTTCACAGTTACTGGAGGTCTCAGTCCATACTTCGCTGGCTCCAAAGCAGCATGGCACATGGCAGAGTAGCAGTTCATGGCAGCAGCAGAAAGCAAGAGCTAAAATGAGGAGTAACAGCAACAATGACAACAAGAACAAGTCTGTAGCCCTTATTTTGCATTCAGGCTATGCACCTCAGGCTAGGTGTAGTATTCACACTCATAATCCCAGCAGCACTCACACCCATAATCCCAGTGGATCCTGAGTTAATCACAAACTCTAGATGTGCACCCCATGACTGCATGAGGCTTTGAAGGGAAAAACTAGACACAAACCATAACAGTACTCAAAAAGAATAATACATCTGGAGGGATTTCTATTTCAAAATGTCAGTCCCTTTGAAAAGGAAATTTTATTTCTCTTAGAATTGGTCTGCATTAACAAAGAGCACTGTGTGGAGGAGAGAACTTGTGGATCACAAAACCTTGTAGCAGGAGGGGTTTCCTGGCATATGACATTAGCTATACTTTTTCCTCTTTAGTGGGCTCACAGATGGTCATCCAGCTTTCATGTGTGTATACTTTAATAATTAAGTTAATTTGAGAATTTTTTGAGAGCCTTTTTAAGTGGACTTTTAAATTTTCATATTATTATTGACTTCAGTGATACTGTAAAAAAAAACCCTATTCTTTGTTTTGGGCTATTTTGAGGTACAATTTCATATAGGAAGTTTACCCTTTTTAGTGGCCTGTTGTATTCTGATGAGCATACTTAGTTGTAGAAGTCACCACACAAATCAAGCTATAAAACAATTTGTCACCAGAGTAGACAACACTGTCATCACACCTAGTGCCATTTCTGAATTCTCTCCTGCTTCTGTGTAGTGGACTTCTTCCATTTCCTGCCACTGGTAAGAACTGATGTTTTAATGTCTCTGTAGTCTGCCTTTCACTGATACCATGTAAATGGAATCATATTCTCTGCAGCTTCTTGACTCTAGCTTCCATCACTTGAGAGTCAGACATGTTGCATGTATCATTATTTTATTCTTTTCTCACTGTCAAATAGTATTCCCTTTCAGCAACATACACTAATATACTCATTCATTATATAAAACCACAAATTGCTTTCCAAAGTGGCTGCAACCCCAGGTTTTAGCCTCCTCCTCTAGTAATGTATGAGACTTCCACTTGCTGAACTACCTCATCAAGTACTTGGTATTGCCATGTTCTTCAGTTTTAAGCATTCTACTAGATCTGCATTGCTATCTCATTAAGATATTAATTTTTATGTCCCTAGTGATTGGCGGTATTTAATATTTTTACATATGTTTGGTTGCCAACTATTTTTTCATTACTTATTCCTATTTTTCTTCATATTTTATACTATCTTTGCTGCTAGTGTATAAAAATAGAATTGTCTTTTATATAGTATCTTTGTATACTGAGATCTAGCTAAACTTACTAGTTACAGTAGTTGGTCTGTTTCCTATGATTTCTATGGAAACCATTATATCAACCTGAAGAGATTTTACTTTCTTCCACATTGTTATGCTTTGTAACTTTTTGTTTTATGTTAATGGTGCTAAAACTAGTCATGTTGAAAATAAGTGGGGAGACTGGGCATCTTTGCTTTGTTCCTCAAATTAGAGGAAATGTGGTCAAAATTTTACTGTTAAGTATGGTATTAGCTGTAGCTTTTTCACAGGAGCCCTTTACCGTGTGAGGAAATCCCTTCTAAATTGTATGAGTTTTTATAATAACAAGTGTTAGCTTTTAGGTACTCTTTCAGGATGTGTTAGGATGATCACATAGTTTTAGTCTATTAATATGGTTAAACTCTCTTTGAACCCTGTAGTCATCTCACTGACTCATCTCATTGATAATGATGACTTCTATTATTGGAGTAATTTTGCTAATATTTTGGGTTTTGTTATATGTTGATATGGGCAATTAGTCTGCAAATTAAAAAAATATTACATGTTTGCTATTTGGGTTATGCGTTTCTCAAGGTGAGAGTAAGAATTTCTTTTTCTATGTTACAATTTTGTGCAAACTCAAGTGTTGTCTTACTTTTGTGTTTGATATATTCGACCACTGAAACCATTTGGGCCTGGAATTATCTTTGTGAGAAGTTGGTTGTATGAAATTCAATTTAAAAAAAAAAAAGCACAATTGAGATTTTTATACCATATCGGTTCGAAGACATCTCTTACATAGAAACTGCCTATTTCATCTCTACTGGAAAATTGGCATCACATTGTCCAGCACGTACAAACTGGTGATAGAGAAAAATGGGAAGAAAGCTGAGACTGAAGCTTTCATGGTTTAAAGCGCTGGATTGCATCACTTGCTCTGCCTCAGAATGCGAACCTGCAAAGCTAGTGCTGTGCCTCTAAAATTAGCTCAACCACCCTGCAGGTAAGTTACCCGGCAATGAGTGCCAAAAATATAGCATCCACATTTCTGGGCAAATTCTAAGCAAAGTTAAGTAACTTCAAGTTAAAAAGTATCACGCACTTATTTTAAGGCTTTTAACTTCTGCACTTTCAGTTTTTGCCTCTGCTTTCGGTTAAATGACTGAATCAAAACCACATACATCAGAGAGCAGTTGAGGTGCATTTAGCTCACAGAAATTCCAGGTTACGAAGAACCTATACACTAATTTCAAGATGAGGGGGCTTCGGCTTAGAGTGAGTGTCCTGAATACAATCCGGCAGGTTTCGAAGCTGCCTCTGCAGTGCGGGTAACACACCTTCTAGGCCTCAAGGCATCCGCCCTCGCAGGTACTAGCGAGTGAGCCGCCTAGAGTAGCTCTGCAGCTCCTCCCAGGCATCCGGGCGCAGAGGTGGGAAGGGCCAGGGGGCGGGCCCATTGAGCCCCGCCCACCCACGTCCTGCGGCGACTTCCCATTCGCTGCCTACCTTACAGCGTGGTGACGCCATCGCGCTCACCATTCCGGAAGTGCGCGTGGCTGCGAGGCGGCGTGAGGCCGGTAAGCGGCCTGCCTGGGTACTATGGAGCGGTACAGTAGACCTTCTCACGCCCGTTCCCACCTGCGCTGGTGGCACGGCGGCACAGAGGGCCTCGGGAGGGAATCCGGGAGAGGTGGGAGCGAGGCACGGCCGGAGGCGGCCCCGGCAGTGAGCTAAGCCGTCTCAGCTGAGCGCGGTGCCCAGTCCCTTAGCTTCGGGAGCCCTCTGCCCGCCTCGAGCGCGGGCCCGAGGGTTTTGCTCCAGAGCCGTTGTGCTGAGGTTGTGGGCGTTAGACAGGGTGTTTCCGGCCAGGGGCCTGAGCCCGCTGTTTAGAGCTGAAGCAGAAGTGAAAGGGTAGGGAGGGACTCAAGTTTCCTACCCATGTGGTATGGGTTGGGAAACTCGGCCTATGGGAAATACCTTTCCTTTATATTGCTTTGCAGAGAATGGAGTGGTTCTCCAGTAGTAGGGTCACGACAGAGCTGTTGCCTACGCACTGGGGTGCACCTGATGGGGGTACTCTGAGTGATGGACTCAGTAGGCAGTGTGCTAGGAAGAGAAGGAGGAAATGCAGACAGCTGTGCCCAGTCATAAGTAACCCATCCCACCCCGCAGTTCTGGGGAGATAATCCCGAGTTATGAAATGCAGGTGCAGGTGGGGAGTTAGAGTACTGTCCACATGTGACCGTGACATATGGAACAGAACAACTGCTCCTGCAGTCTTCCAGTTTTCTGGAGCCAGTACCCCATGTGTTTTGACGCCCGCTGTTCAAGACAGTGTTAAAACAGTAAAATGTAGTATGTAAGGAGACCTGTGCCTCAGAACACAACTGGGTGGCCGCAAGCACATTTTTAATGTCCCTTCACAAAGTCATTTTTCAGGCTTTCATCTGGATGGGTGATATATTTCTTCTGGTTAATAAATCAGATAGCCTGCTTGTCATGACATGCCAGTTGCTGCTGTGCTGTCTCACAGGTAGGTGATTTTTCAAAAAGAAGCGGGTGTTGAATGAAGGCAGGAGACAGGAAAAGGAATGTTGTGGGACTGTCCTGCTTCAAGGTTGTATAAGGTTAGATTTTTTAACTTACGTGTAAACATAAGTATTATATAATTCTTTATGCCTACTTTTAAAATATATTCTAATTTTTAAATGTCTTTTCATCATATTCTGTAGGGACTTAAAGTTCAACATATCAATACTGGATGAAAAATACCTGTTCCGTGTTATGCCTAAGATATTTGATATTCAGGCAGGTAGTGAGGTTAAGCTTAACAGCCTAGGTTGTATGGTAATAACAATAAGCTTCTCTTCTGGAGAATTAACAACCTAAGTTTGCAGACCAAAATCAGAGAAAAAGGAGAGCCGCAAGGAAAGCCAACATTATGGCCCTAGCCTTCCAAGGTCAATTAAGACTCAGGACATATGAGAACTTGTACTGTAACGTCATGTAACTCAGCAGTGTCCCAAATTTTCTGATCAAGATTATGGGGCCAAAGAGGAAGGTAATCGATGATGTAGAGTGTGCCTAAGGAGAGTCAACATGGAGAGAAAACATTTTCTCAGGCTTTCACAGAGAGCACATTTGCCAAGCAATGGCCGTGACTCATCCACATGGGTGACATTAACAAAGGATCTACAATCTGAGGTATAGGATCTCAGGATAAATCCTGAGGGGATTTGACTGACCTTATCAGACCCAAAAGCTACAACTCTTGTTGCATAGGTCTTGCTTTGTCTTGGTCTTAACCATCCAGCAGAAAAGTATAAAAATGAAGTATAAGAAGTAAAGTCATGTTGTTACGTTGAGCTTGAGCTGTAGGGGACTCAGGTCTAAATTTCTGAATTGCCAGTCAAGCGGAAGACCCAATACTATTATGGACTACTGGACTCTTTTAGAATATTTTGCTGAGTTTACACACCTATAATATTCAAATAACGGAACTAAACAAAAAAAGCGGATACAGATGAATGTCTATTTTGTATCTGTGTATTCAAAATGGTTAGGATAGATACATAGTTACATTCTCTTAATGAATAGAGGGATTTGTTCTAATAGTGTTTGTAAATAGGATATCATGTCCGCATCTTGTACAGCAATTAAACATTAGGAAGAATGTGTGCAATGTGTTAATTATTGAAACTATCCTACCAATTTGCTTTGAAACTGTCTCATTGCTATTTGTTTCTTAATAAAATTATGGGAAAAAATAAATAAAAATAAATCAGCATGAATTTTCCTTCACTGTCAGTTTCATTGTTGTGCCTGCACGTTTGCCTTGCAGATGAGTGGTGCCTGACTTTGTCCAGATGCTGAGGTACCTGTATCCTTGGCACAGGCCATTACTGAGCCATAGTTGGAGTAGACTCTGTCTTCTGAAGCATTATCTATTTACGATGAAGTTGCAATCTCCAGAATTCCAGTCACTTTTCACGGAAGGATTGAAGAGCCTGGCAGGTGAGAGTAGGATGTATTTTCTTTCTTTTGAAGCCTGTGTGTAAGTGGAGAGGCACATGGTTTACTTCTTTCAGCCTGTATTCGGATGTTTTTGTTCTGCTAGTGAAAGAAAGGCTTACTTGTGATCAAGTCACTGAGGGAGAAAGAAGTTGACTTCAGTAAAAAGGCATGGTTTTTGTTGTATGTTGCAGTGTGGAGTATTGCACTTTGACCAGTTGTTGAGGGATTAGTTCTAATGAGTAAGCACAGTGTCCCTTACTATGGAGGAGGAAAGAGACGCTTAGGAATGTGAAATACTTTGTATTTCCATAGCTTATAACCAATGTAGATTTTTTTCCTCTGTAGTGTAACACTAGAGTTCAGTTTGTAAACATTGAGGCTCTGTACCTTTCAGGTATATAATTGCTTTCTGAGAGAACTGAAAATAAAGTAGGAATTACCTTCATTTGTACACATGTAAAATCTGTTGAGAGGAACATAGTGAATGGCTCAAGCTGAGTGCCTGATTACAGTGGCTTCTACCTGCTGTTGGCACAGTTTTAGCCATACTGGTCCTTAAACTCTGCTTCTGATGTTGAAGGAGCTTCACAGCTCCATTTCAGAACCTATGGGAGCTTCAGTGGTGTCTCAACTGTGAATATGTACAAGTGACCTAAATGGTGCTTTCCTCAGCACTGGCTGTCCCTAAGGTCCACTTAAGGGCGCTTTTAAAAAGTACAGATACTGAAATTCTACCCCTAGCCTTCTGAACTGGAATCTCTGGAAGGATAAGCCCCCATAGTTTTTATAAAAACCCTGTAGATTAATTCTTAATTACTAGAAGATAGAGGAAATATTACTTTAATATTCTTACATTATTCACAAGGCTTCCTTCATGTTCTTGAGTTAGATGATGACATTTTACATTCATATCAGAGGTAACTGGTAGAGAACTTGTGGAGTTTTTAAAAGTTCTTAAGGTGGTTTTGAGTTAGAGGTATTTTGTTTTGTCTTTTTGACAGATCTGGAATTTACAATGTTTAGCCATTCTGGCCTTGAACTCCTGTTGATCCTCAGCCTCTGAGTACTGGGATCATAGGTGTGCGCCACCATGCCAGGCGAGAGGGCTTAAATGCAAGTTTGGTTATGCTGTTAGCTTCACTGTGAATTAATCAGAGTAAAAACTGCTACAAACTCACTGTCCAATAGAAATATATAAGACCCTGTGTAATATAAACCATTCCTTTAACTATACTGAAAGGAAAAAAGAAATGGGTGAGATTCAAGAGTTATTTTCAATACATTGTATTTAATCCACTATAACTAAGATAATGTTTTAATATGAAATTTGTATAAACAGCATTGAGCTATTTTATATTCTTATAAAGCTTTCAGATCTACCATGTATTTAACACATATAGCACACCTCAGTTCAGATTCAAAATATTCCAAATATCCAGTAACCTTCTTTGGCCATTACAGATCTAGAGCTCCAGCATTGGGCTGATGCAGCTTTTTTCTTTATATGTCTTTCTCAGCATGTCATTTTCCCATTCTCTTGGAAGGAAGAGTAGTTAACTCCTTGTGATCTATCTTGATAATTCTTCATTTTTTGGAAAACAAGGTTTTAGATATTGACATATAGTTTCTTACAACTTTTTTTCTGGGGGGTTGCTGGGCATTGAACAGGGCCTTCACTCTGGTCTGCATCTCTAGCTCTTTTTTTTTTTTTTTTTTGCTTTGTCTTTGGAGACAGGATCTAGCTATGTCACTAGGTTAGCAAGAGTGGACTTGAATTTGTGACCCTCCTGCCTAAGCCTCCTGGAGTGCTAGGATTATGTAGGCATGGGCTGGCATATTAGGCTTGAGTAGCTTTTACCAGTTGCATTTGACTTACTAAACCTGAGTTTAAAAGTTGAACTTTATCCACTCTGAGAAATAAATCTTAAAAAAGTGAAACCCAAAGTAATATGATAACCTACAGATGTTGTGGTTGTTTCCAGAGTCCCGTCCTTTGCAAATGAGAATGTGGGCGTATTCTAAAGTTTCGCCTTCTCTGTGGTGTAGAACTGGGAAGAATGGCATCTTGTAGTGCATTGCTCATAATTAGGAAATGAAATAATTATTGTATTTCCTCACTGTTGTGGTGTAAAGACCTGAGTTCCTTGGTAAAATGTGAGGACCTGTAAAAAAACAAAATTCAAGAAAGCACATAGCATTTGGGGCTACATGTAGTATGGTGACACATGCAGTGTGAATCTTGTAACAGTTCTCAGCACCTAATAACTGCTTTGCTATATGTAAAATTAGTCTTCAGTTGTAAGAATTGGGGAAGTTTATTATGGTCATATGACTCAGTGTTTTTATTTTTGACAGTATTAAAGATCAGATCTAGCACCTGAGGAATGAGCTATATTCCCAGCCTTTATTTATTTGTTTATTTAATTAATTTATTTTTTTTGATACAGCGTCTTGCTATGCAGTTCAGACTCATAGTGGTCCTCCTATCTCAAGCAGCCTAGTGTTGGGATTATAGGCATGCGCTACTATGCCTGGTTCTGGAGCCAGCATAGCGTGAGGTATCAAGGATTGATCTTGGGACTTTGTGCTTGCCAGGCATGTGCTTATGCTGCTGAGCTATATCCCCAGTTTGACTGATGAAAAATTTTTTAAAATAGGTAGGAACTAGAATAGCTTTCTGATGCAACACATGCCTTTTGCATTGATAACAAGAATAATTCACTAAAGTAACTGCTAGGTGTGGCTGTTTGAGTAAATAGACATGGTTGTAGAATGGTGATATTTTGCATTTCTTGAATTGTAAGCTTAAGTTTACAATCAATTTTTATTATGTTTGGTGGTGTTTTCACAATGTATTTACATAGTTTGAAGTTTTAGGAATGAATATATCCTTGTTTCTGTAACGTAGATGATCTTAATAATTGAGGAATACAGCACTTTAATAGTCCTTACTGTTTTAGGTCAGTATAAAATCATACCTTGTAATTGTGACATATTCCACATAGGTAAATATGTCCTTATTAGCCCTTCTCAATTGTATTAAAGTATAATTAAAAAAAAAAAAAAGTCTCACTAGAGCATTCAGGCTGTGCTTGAAATCATTTGTAGCCCAGGCTGGCCTCAAACCCACTCTGATCCTCAAGTTTCAGCCTCTTGGGTTTACAAGTTTGTTTGTTTGTTTGTTTCTTTCTTTCTTTCTTAAATGTATTTAGTACAGGGTCTATAGGGTATCACTACATAGATGGGACTCTAGTGTTCCTCCTGTTTTCAGCCTCCCAAGCACTGGGATTATAAGCATGCACCACCACACCCAGTCTTAATTGCCATCTCAGTGCAGCCTGGGAGCAGGGCCTACACAGCAGGCCAGGGATTGAACCCAGGTCCTTGCATCTGTCTAAGCAAGCACTGTAATCCACTGAGCTTTCTGGCTGGCCCGACAAGTATACTTTTTAAAATCTCGAAATTACAAGTTTTTGGAAATGGTTTAATAATTTAGGACTAATCAAAATGATGAATAGATTACTTTTAATACTATATCTTTTTCTGAAATGTGATTGAGTGCATTTGAACATACCAATTTTATTGTAGTGAGGGCAGAATGAGAACCTTAAAAACACTGGTTCTCTATAAATTCTGCTTTGACTCTTTTTGTTATGATATTATTAGATAGTATTTTAAAGAATAAAAATTTTTTAAAATGCTCTTTCAATGAAACCGTTCTTTTTATTTTTTTAAAGAGAAGAAAAACAAGTGTAAAATTTTTTAAAAATATTGTAGAATAACAATGTTCAGTATATTGTGCATTGTTATCTTCAAAGAAATTGCTAATAATACAAGATAGAAGCATGAAATACTGATCAAACAGTATAGGCATATACCCATCCTATCATTGAGCTATTTGCAATAAGCAGTATGTCTGTCTAAACTATCTTTGTGTGTGTATATATATTTTTTGTTGTTGTTTGTTTTGTTTTGTTTTTTCCTTTCCTGCTCCTACTTCTCTGTCCTTTCTCCTATTTCAGTTTCTCTTTTCTTTTGAGCATTGGCTTCCCACTTCTGAATATCTAATAGACATTTTGGGTTTTATTCTTTTACCTTCTTATACTAGGGAGACAGTATAGTGTCTGCACATGCGAGGCTGGTTTATTTTACTTGTAAGTATGGCCTCAAGTCATATCCATTTCCCTATAAATGCAAAACCATCTTCAAAATTAATGGAGAAATGATAGTTCCATGACAAAGAGTAACTGAAGGGATTTATGATCACCGAACCAATGCTACAAGGAATACTAAAAGATATTCTAGACAGAGAAAACCAGGAAGGACAACAAAAAGAAACCACCAGGCAGGACAAACAAATGGGAAAAGTACAGAACCAACAGGAGGAAAATACCATGACCAAGATAAGCCAATACATATCAGTTATAACCACTGGTGAGAATGGCCTCAGTTCACCAGTCAAAAGAAACAGATTGGCAGAGTGGATCAGGAAACAGAAGCCATTCTTTTCAGTTCTATTGTGAGTAAAGTTGTTATAAAAATGAATGATAGGCTTTTCTACTGTGAGAAGTGGGGAGACAAAAATATAATTTGATAATAGATATGTATAAAGATACATTGTGTTAGTAGCTTGAAAGAAATTTAGTTCACCTTCTGGGGAAGGTGAAGTTTCCTAAACTTAATCACAACAGATAGGTAAGATTGACTTTGATTGGTGTTTTTCTGATGAGTGACTCATTATTAATGGACCATAAACTCAGTTTAGAGGTCATGGCCACTATTTCTTATGAAGTGAGAGGAATAGAGAATAAAAAAAGAGAGAGAGAATAGGATAGAATAGATGTCATGGTATGTAGAAAAGGTAAGATTTCATGATACTGTGACACTTTGCCATATGGACACACAGGAATTAGTAAATTCTGTGAGAAATGTTTTACTGTCATGGATCAGAGGTTTAAGTAGATGATTAAGTTAGATGATTAAGTTGGGAAGGTATTTCAGTGAAGTGACTCAATGAAGGAAACCGTCATAGCCAGAGTTTGGTTCAGGTAATGTGTTGAAGCAAGGTTCAGTGAGAGATGGGTATAGAAGCTGTGTACTATGTAAAGAACTTGAATATTGTGACATGCATAGATAGGAAGAGCAGTTCCATCTGTGTCTAGATAAGACCGGAGGCTGGCTTTAAGGAGAGTGGACAGAATATGAACTGTGGCCCTGGAAGCTTGGACAGGAATGAGAGTGTTGTGAGGAGACTCTTGTATCAGTACAGGCATGGAGATTAGGGGACCTAAACAAGGTGGTGGAGACATAGTCCATTTTTGTCATTCTTCAACTGTTTGGGTCATGGTCATCTCCATATGATACTCTTTTCCTGATACCAGTGATTTTTACTTTTATGTGGAAGGATCATGGACCTTATATTGAAGAACTTTTAATAGGGACATTTGGTTAGTGGGACTTGATTGGAAATGTGGCATTAAGGGAATATCCGTAAGATATTCATTTAGAGAGTTTACAGAAGGTATCGTGTGGAAGGGCTTGTTTTTAGTTAAGAAAACAAGGTAGAGGGAGCAACCCTTTGTAATGTTTAAGCAAGCCATCTGGGGAGTCTGCAGAGAGTAGGCCTGAAAGGTTTGAGAAGAATAAGTGAAAAGGAGTATGGGGATAAAAGCCAAGTTGGATAGGGGCGCAAAGGATTACATTTTGAGTTGGGATTTAGGATGCCGGAACGCTGATGTATGATGAGTTTAACATTTTGTTCTGCTGATGTCGGTGACCTCCAGACAGACCAGTGAGGCACATCAAGTTAGGTGGCTATTCTTTGCAGGGAGTAAGAATGCTGCCCATGGAATCTTCTGGAGCAGCTCAATAAGAGTTTTTGAAAGGATCTCTTAGAAGATTTGGGCTTGTATTAGGTTACTTTGGAGATTAAGATGTGGGGCTATAGAGTAGATAGGTATGAGGTTGTTTGTTTGTTTTTTGGGGGGGTTTTGGTGGAACCGGAATTGAACTCAGGCCCTTGTGCTTGCCAGGCAAGCACTTATTCTACTGAGCTATCTCCCTGGCCCCTATAGAGTAGAGTAGATGGTTGTAGGAAGCAAAATTAATTCTTTGGGTATGTCAGTTTTTCCCTAGAATTTAAGGTCATAGTGCAAGACTAAAACTAATTGCTAAGTAAGGAGCAATCCTTTTCATTAACTATTTTATATTATAGTGTGTGTCTTGGACAGTGATGAGATTTTGTCTCTGTTTACATGATTTTACAGTTGTTTAGTCTGATACTGACTTGTGAAACTGTTCATGTCCATAGAACACCAAGGCTTGGTTGTGAGTGGTACATTAGCTCACAGCAGCATGAAGGTTTAACCCCCCATAGTAGCAGGCTAGTTCTGGATGTCATCAGGTCGAACATGGTGGTGTTTGGTCAGATGGGTACAGTCACAGTGGCATTGTTTTGTTTTTCCTGTACCTACAGAGGTGTCAATGCTGGGGTTATTTATAGCCAGGTAAGTGTTCATATGGTTCTAGTAATTTTTGAAGGATTCTTCTAAGTGGATATATCATAAGTGGTGTGACAGATTTGTCATAAGGATTTATCATAAGTGGTATGACAGACTGATGTCTGATAGTTTTAGTTTCATGTATGAACGTATAAGAACACATTTTTCTTTCAGAAAAAGCAGTTAACCTATACTGTCTCTAATATATTGTAAACCTTGCATAACAAGATTTGTTAAAAAGACACAATTTGAAATAAAGACTTTCTTTCATCCCAGAGTTATTCATCAAAGAAAATCATGAATTAAGAATAGCAGGAGGTGCAGTGAGGGATTTGCTAAATGGGGTGAAGCCTCAAGACGTGGACTTTGCTACCACGGCCACCCCTACTCAAATGAAGGAGATGTTTCAGGCGGCTGGAATTCGTATGATAAACAACAGAGGAGAAAAGCATGGAACAGTTACTGCCAGGGTGAGTACAAGGTGGTATTAGTTAATGCATTCCCACTTACTTACTGTTTTGTTTATAAAGATCTATGTTTTTATTTATGTATTTGGTAGAGGGTCTCCCTATGCAGCTTGGACTCTTAGTGATCCTCTTGTCTGTGTTTTCCCAGTGCTGGGATTACAGGCCTGTACCACCATGCCCAGTTTCCGTGGCAGGTAGGACTGGGGTCTGGCACAGCATGCAGTACTGGGAATTGAACCCAGGTCTTAGTGCTTGCCAGGCAGGCGCTTAGTCCACAGAGCTATCTCTGCAGCCCCTGCATTCCCATTTATATAATTCTTAAAAATTTAGAATTTTTTTCTAGTTAAAAAAGCAAATGACAAAAAGCATGATAAAAATGCTACTGACCTCTAGAAATCCTGCATCCTCCCATGTGGTGGCGCAACTTTTGTCTAAGTTTGATAGTTCTCTTACTGCCACAATTTCTTTCTTTCTTTCTTTCTTTCTTTCTTTCTTTCTTTCTTTCTTTCTTTCTTTCTTTCTTTCTTCCTTTCTTCCTTTCTTCCTTTCTTCCCTTTCTTCCCTTTCTTCCCTTTCTTCCCTTTCTTCCCTTTCTTCCCTTTCTTCCCTTTCTTCCCTTTCTTCCCTTTCCCTTTCTTCCCTTTCTTCCCTTTCTTCCCTTTCTTCCCTTTCTTTCTTTCTTTCTTTCTTTCTTTCTTTCTTTCTTTCTTTCTTTCTTTTTTGTTTGTTTTTGGTGCCAAGGACCAAACCCAGGGCTTCCAGCTTGCTAGGCAAGCGTTCTACCACTGAGCCAAATCCCCAGCCACACTGCCACAGTTTCTAAGGAAAGAAAAAAGTCAGTGTTGTATGCTGTGTTCTTGGTTTTTGATTTTCTAGTTCTAATGTGCTTTCCACTGATTCCTATTTGGGCAGATGATTTAGCTTTCTTACCACACTCCTTTTTAAAACCAACTACCTCACATTTCTCCCTTCCCTGTCTTTCAAGCTTATTTCTGTCATAATTTTTGGTTAAGCCTGTATTCAGGGTTTACTTATGACTTGTTTATAGCTGCAGTCTGGATTATTGTTATGATTTAATTCTTTGCTGCTTTTTTTTTTTTTTTTTTTGGTATTTTAGGGAAGGGTCTATAGGGTGTTCTGGGTCTCACCACTAGATGGGACTCGTAGTGATCCACGTGTTTACAGTCTTCCAAGAGCTGGGGTTATAGGCGCGCACCACCACATCCAGTCTCAATTGCTGTTTCAGCTCACCCTGGCTGTGGGTTGGTATGACAGGCCCGGGATCGAACCCCAGTCCCTGTGTCTGCTTGCAGGCACTTTAATCCACTGACCTATTTGGCCAGCCCTGTTGCATGTTATTTATCCCGCAGATAACAGCATTACTCTGACATAGCTTTCCATGTGTCACTATTTATTCTTATACTTGGTACCAGAATTATAAAGTTACTCTCAAAGTATTTGAAGACTTAAACACATCAGTTTTGTGGTTTGAGGATGGGCACCTTTCACCTGGTTTTGTCTTTCTACTCTAATACAGACTTTCTAGCACTTTCTTTGACCTCTCTTCTTTGCTATCCCTTATGTTTCCTGGTTCCTGTGTGGTGGTCCTCGTTTTTTCTCCTTAAGTGTTCTAAAACTCAAGGAAGCTTCACACATATGAAAACAGGGTTTTACCTTCACAGTGGTTTGATAATTTTGTTGACTATTGAATTTTAGGCTGGGAATAATTTTCACTAAAATTTTTCTAATTCCCAGGGCTACTTCTGGTGCCGTGAAGCTTGAGGCCTCATCCCATTTAATAAATCCTTCACTGCACCTCCTGCTCTTTTTCTTCTTTAAGACTTTTTAAAAGAGAATACAGAATAGTAATAAAAAAAATTGTGATTTTTTTTCCTTTGGCAAACAACTGGAGAAGCAGCTTTCCATTTCTTTCTTTCTTTTTTTTTTTTTGTATTTTCAGGAAGGGTCTGCAGGGTGTTCAGGGTCTCACTAGATTGAACTCATAGTGATCCACCTGTTTACAGCCTCCCAAGAGCTGGGATTACAAGCTCATGCCACCACTCCCAGTCTCAGTTGCCATCTCAGTGTACCCCAGGGGCAGGGCTGGTACAGCAGGCCTGGGGATTGAACCACCAGTCCCTCCGCCTACTTGCAGGCATTTTAATTCACTGAGTTATTTGGCCGACCCCAGCTTTCCATTTCTTTTTCTCCTTTGTTTGAAACTTGTTTTTTTTTTACTTTTGGAAATATTTCTGATCTTTCTCTCTGGTGTTCTTAAGGGTTGGACTTATTTTTTCATTTATTATTTCTCCATCCATATTTCTCTTATAATTTCATCCCCCTGATTAAAATGTCTTTCTTTGGAAACTGATTGCTTAGATTTGGCATTGGCCTGAGAGCTACTTTAGTTTGGATGTTGGGCTGGGGGCTGTCTAGTTTTATTTTTCCCTTTATATTCTGTCCTTTTATTTCACTTTCCATGGCAATGTCTTGATTTCCCAGTTGTTCTATTATATTTGCAATTATTTGAACTTTTTTTTTTTTTTTTTTTTGTGGAACCCAGGATTGAACTCAGGCCCTTGTGCTTTCCAGGGAAGCGCTTATTCTACTGAGCCATCTCCCCGGCCCCTATTTTGAACTTTTACATTTTCATTAGGTCATTAAAATATCGTATATTCTGAGGAATCTGTTGCTAAGTTTTGTTAAATTTTTTAAATTTTTAAAAAATTTTTGACTGATAGTACATACTGTAAAACACATTGTATAGGCATAAAAAAATTCTTTATTAATTCTTCAAGCTTTTCTGTCAGACATTTCTTTTTTCCTTTTAACCTTTTTGTTAGACACTAAGGGACAAACAACACATTAGTGTAAGCCTCTGCAATCAGGATTATCACTATGTTCCACCTCTGAGTTTTGGCCTCCTCCAAGGTTTTCAGGGGCAAAGGCAGATGAGGGGCTGCCACTCCCATTCTTCTGGAATTCCTCCTGAGGGGCCTGTTGGGACTATTTTACAGCTTTTAATCTAAGTCAAAGTAGTACACTGTATTGATAGAAACTATAGTGTAATAAATTACTAAACTATTAATAGCCATTTAGTATAATTGCGTGCTGTGTAATACTTGTGTAAATATACTTTTAAAAATTTATTTTATTTTTTAAATTTTATTTTAAAGAGAAAACACCCAAAAAACAAAATGACAAAAGCCATAAAAACAATACAGAATTTCAAAGCAAGGTGATAAACAGTGGTTGTGATGTTGCATATTATTATCTTCAAAGTAGTTGCTCAGATTAACACATATAGGTATGCGAGATTGAGCAAACAATTAAGAATTAAATATTTCTTTCAATAAACCAATAGAAAGTAGTAGTACAGTTATCTTAACTCTGAACTTTGCTCCTTTCCTCCATCCCAGTTAGGAAGGACAGTACTGTACCTTTACTTATTGTAGCACCACCACAAACCTGAATGATGTGAGGCACTGTGTTGTGATGACTAGTGCTGTGTCGTCCGTGTCACTAGGTTACAGGAGCTTCTTAGCTCCATTATGATCCATGAGACCACTGCCATACACTCTGTGTTGATGACTGAAATGCCCTTCTGTGGCACATGACTATTTTCTTATAAAGGTTGATCTTTTCCAGATGCAGTAACTTCTCTTACTTGCCATAGGCTATTTATTATTGTCGTTTTGACAAAGCCTTTCTTTGGAGCTTGTTGTCTTTTGTATTAGTTTTCCTTAAATGGGGGTATTTTTTTGGCTCTCGTTATATTTTGGTGTTGTTATAAAATGACCTGAGGGCTTTATTTGTAGTTCATCATACAAGTGTCAGGAAGTTGTGAGACTCTCAATATTAGACTTAAGTTTTCATTAGGAGAAAGCCCAGAAGAATTTTCCACTGTTATGCCAGGGGATAAGCTTGCGTGTTAGCATTTTGAAAACCAAGTGGGAAAACAGATAGGGTTCATGTTGGTTTTCACTTGATTCTATTTTGATGTTTCATTCCCAAGAGCATAAGTGCCTGAGTGCCAAGCTACTTTTCTTTTTATAGAGTTAATTCCTGCTTTTCTGCCTGAGTTGGGGCCGGGGGTCTCAAAAGGGAGATGTAAGTGCTTCTCATAATGATTTTCAGTTTTCCCATTTCAAGCCCTTTATATTTGCTTTTACATATACAGGTGTGTCATATTCTTGATTTCTGCAATTCTGTAATGAGCATATAGGTATAGATTGTGTTATGGTTTATGTCTAGATTTCCCCCCAAAGCCTCATGTGGTTATTGGGCATTTTTGGAGGTAGCTAAGTGTAAAGTGTGTGATTGATTCATAGTGCAATGCTAGGATTAAGGGTGCTGGGATTAAGGGTTGGTGATTGCTGTATTGGTGCACTGTTTGGGTTGGCCTGGTGCTAAACGTGGTAGACCAGGGCACAGTGTATAAAGGACAGTCTCGCTTTTGCTGTCTTCTACTCTCATGAACTGTGGCTGTGGCCCCTCTGCTATATGTTATTTAACACCCTGCCACAGAGCCAGCCAGGTGTGGACTGAAACCTTTACAAACTGAGCTAAATAAACCTTTCCCCCTTTAATTCTGGGTGTCAGGTATTTTGTGTCAGCAACAAGAAAGTCACAAAGAGACTATATCTAGAGAAGAGTGTGTATGAAATTGAGAAGACTCTTAGACTTCTGGTGATCATTTTTGGCTTTTACTTGTTAATGAAAAGATCCCAATTTTTGCTTGACAAAGTCTTGCTGGATGTCACTCATATGTTGTTTGTCAGGTATACATTCTCTTTTACATATACTCTTTCTCCACTGTGCCTTTGGGTCTCCTTTCATTTGAAATTTTTTCTCATATGCATGTTCAGATCCTGTTCATTTTCAAGGCCCAGCTCACATGTCATTGTGTGTGATAAAGTTATTCAGCTTTTCCAGCTAGAGGCAGTATCTCCTCCCAAGAATACCGTACATGTAGCATTTTTACTTTATTGGTGAGTACCAGGAAAGGAGTTGCAGGATTTGTTACCTGTACTTACTCCTCTTATAAGAACTTTCCTTAATGCCGTGTATTCCCTAAGTTAATGCTCAGTTCTTTGCAAACTGGAGCTATTAGAAACTATCCAGACACTTGCTTTCTGATAAATGGAAGGACCAGAATACATTGCTTTGAGAGCTCCTCTTTTTGTACTACACTACTTGTCAGTTGCTATTTGTCAAATAATCTTAACCATGGTACAATTTTATAAAAAGCAAATCATTCCTCAGATGTCTTTGAATATTGTAGGTGTCTTTCAAGGTATGTGAACAGTGTGTACAATGTATAGTTATTTTCAGAAAGACATTGTCAGGGTTCATAGTACCATACCTTAATGAAGAAAAAGTTTATTTTTCAATCCATCCATTTCATGATACTGAAAGCTAATTTAAAAAAAAAAAAAACTTTATGCAATTGCAGCTTCATGAAGAAAATTTTGAAATTACTACACTACGGATTGATGTTACCACTGACGGAAGACATGCTGAAGTAGAATTTACAACTGACTGGCAGAAAGATGCTGAACGCAGAGATCTCACTATAAATTCCATGTTTCTAGGTAATATATGAAGATAATATTTTAATTCAGACTGCTTTCTTTTCAAGTGGAATTTTGTATTACTTTCTTGTAAGAGACAGTGGAGCCTAAATCCCTGAGATATTAACTGCTTTACTCAGAGGCTATAAATTGAAGGTGTTGATACTAAGTTTCCTTTGTAAGGTTGTTATGAGAATTATGGGAGGTAATAATTGCACAGTGCCTACTACATTTATACATTCAGCCTGTTAACATAGGAACAGAATTTAAACAGTGTAAGAAAAATAACCCACTTGTGCACACATACTCCATGTCATTTTTTTCTCCTTGCATTATTTTCATGCATGTACTCCATGTACTCTTTCCTCTCTTCAGGTGTCCTGTCACACAGTAGCAAACAACTTGAGCACTTTTGTATTGAGCCTACACAAAATCTCAAGTTCTTTCTTAGCATTGCATCTTAGTAAAGTGTATAATCAAGTTGGTATGTTAGTTTCTATATTAATAAAAGTGAATGGGCTGGTGAGATAGCTCAGTGGACTAAATGTCTGCTTAGGCAAGCTCAGGGACTGGGGTTTGATCCCCAGCACCACATGCCATTACCAGCCTTGGGCCCATCCTCAGGAGCCCTGAGCTGGCCACCAAGAGGGCATGGTGGTGTATGCCTGTAATCCCAGTGCTGGGTAGGCTGAAAAAAGGAGGATCATTTCAAGTCTGAGCTGCATAGTGAGACTCTACCAATTTTTTTTTTTTTTTTTTAAAGAAGTGATAAAAGGTGAATTAAGTTAATGTTTTGGTGCTTGACTGATACATTATTTTTCTGTTCAAATTTCAGGTAAGCTCTTTAAAATCTGCTTCATTAGCTGGGGAAGACACTTGTAGGCTAAAGTGGAATCTCTTGCTGATTACATTAGTAACAAATACCATGTCTAGGGTACCTTAGGTTTCATATGCATCAGCAGGTACCTAATGTATTTTTATCTAATTTAACTATCAAAAAAACTTCATGAAGTGGGTATTAAGTAGCTTAGCTCAGGTTGGAGAGCCATTATATAAGCCTGGAGTTTGAAAGCCTATACAATTTATGATCATAGGGGGCCCCGTTAGTGCATAGTTTCTCTCAGTTATATAATGAAACCCCCAAATGTTTATTTCTTCTTGCATTATTCATAAAGTGCTCCAAGTAATGCAGTGTATATGGTCTTGTCTAACTTCCTGCAAACATAAATGGGAAAAACTAGAATTTTTCAAAATATTCTTTTCCAAGATACTGTTTTCTAAAGTAAAAGCTTTAAAAAAAAAAAAAAAAAAGAAAAACAAACAAACCAGTGTCTTCCTATGCAGTGCAAGCTGACCTTGAACTCACTGTGTAGCCCATGTTGGTTTCAAATTTGTGACAATCCTATTTCAGCCTCCCAACTGATAGGATTACAGGCATATGCAACCACACCTGATAGAAGTTGTTCTTGGTACTAGAATTGTCTAACTTTGGTTGACGCCATATAATGTGCTGGGCACTATTCTAAGACATTATATAAACTTCGTCTATGTAACAACTTTATAAAGCATTTATTGCTATTTAACCTGAAGGTAACTTGCCCAGAGTTAGGCAGTTTGTAAACTTAATAGAATCAGGGTTCTAACTGAACTGGTCTGGATCCACAGGTCATGCTCTTTACCACTACTTTCACGTTGTTTTTCACTGTGTCGCAGAAGAATGATAATCAGAGTAAAATAAAGTATGTATTGATGTATGATATTCACTAATCCTTACTTTCAGCTCAGTTTTGTCTGGATTTGTTTCAAGCCTTACAGGACCAAACTTCAATAGTTCTGATATTTGTGATTGATCACTTTATATCCCAAGCCATTATTTTTGCTTTTGGTATATTCTTGTTTTTCCCCCAAATTTTCATCTTTGTTAAATTCCTATTGTTTTCCTCCAAATCTTGATCTTTACTGAAAAATACCTTAGTATTTCAGACTCACCAAGGATAATCTGGCATCCTTAATTAAGAGAATTAACACTATGACAGGCATACCATCTTGCTTTTTTTTTTTTTTTTTTTCTGTATTTAGGATAGGGCCTGCAGGGTCTCAACTACATAGATTGGACTCCTAGTGATACTTCTGTTTTCAGCCTCCCAAGTGCTGCGATTACAGGGGGGTGCCATCACGCCCAGTCTCAATCAACATCCCAGTGTGCCCCATGGGTGTGGCCAGCACAGCACACCTAGGATTGAACCCTGGACCCTGCGCTCTGCCTAAGCAGGCGCTTTAGTCCACTGAACTATCAGGTTGGCCCTTGCTTGCTTCTTTGTAATCCCATATTCTTTGCTCTTTTTGGGGGAGGGGGCCTTCATTTTCTGGTCTCTTTTTTTTTTTTTTTTTTTAAATCTGGAGTCTTTTAAACTTCCTATATACATCAAGATAGCCCCTTTTAACAGACTCCATGTATAGAACCAGAACAGTTTGGATAAAAAAGTAGTTATTTTTCACAAGTAATGACAGTGTCTCCTGTCCCTTATGCCAGAGTGAACACTTTAGGACCACAAACCTCACTTATTTGGATGGATGCTCTGAGACAGTGTTTCATTTCAGTTTTTTTTTTTTTTTTTTTTTTTTTTTTTTTTTTTTTGGTGGTGGTGGGATGAATGTTCTGAGACAGCTTTCTCAGTTTGCTTGTGACAGATTTTACTAGGAGATGTGATTTTCAGAACTAGGAAAATGCCATGCTAATCAGGATGAACTATTCATCCTAATACCTGAGATTTTTAAATGAATGTGTTAAAATTATTTGGGTAAGAGGGAACATATAATGTGGAGACTTTATTTGCAGCATTTATGAATAACATGTACCTGGAATGTGCAGTGAACTCTTGATCTACAATGAACAAGAGTGCCTCCTTCAGTACACCCTTGTGCACAGTATTACCAAATGTGTGGATATTTGCCATTCTGAGGGAAATCTAAAAAATTGTTTTCAAAACTTTATGACAAAAGTTGAATTTTGTCATTTTAATTTATACCCTTTACATATATATATATTAGCCTTTTTACTTATACATTTATAGGAACTTTTCTCTGTGATAGAAATTAGCCTTTTGTCTGTGATAGTGACTTACATACTTTTTGCTAGAATGTCATTTAGCTTATGATTTTCTGTGTGATGGTGGCTTTAACAGGCAGCTGATTTTTTAATGCAGTTTGATAACTTTAGGTTTTCTATCTCTTTATATTAGTTTGGAAATCAGCTTGTCTGCTATTTCATTGTCCCAGCCCCATTTCCTATACAGTTCTGGCACGTTTATCATTTTCAGTCTTTGTTCATTGGCCACTGGAAAGACAGCTGTTTTATCTGGCTTCCATTTGGTAGTGACAAGCAGGAATACCGTTAGTATCTGTATTTTAATTCTGTAACTTAACCTTGCTGAATTTTTAGTTTGTCATGGTTCTAAGCTGACGTTTTGTGTGTCAGTCTTACTTGCTAATGATTTTCTGCCCTTCTGATGAACAGGTTTTGACGGTACCTTATTTGATTACTTTAATGGTTATGCAGATTTAAAAAATAAGAAAGTTAGATTTGTTGGACATGCTAAACAGAGAATACAAGAAGATTATCTTCGAATTTTAAGATATTTCAGGTAAGATGTTTTAAAATTTTTAGTATCACAGTACAGTTCTAGTCATGTACAATACTACAGCAGGTAGTTGTACAATACAGTGAGATCTCAGATCCCTCTTTCCCATGACTTCGTAGCTTCCAACTTGTGTGTGACACCACTTCATGCTCTATTTTCATGATAGGCACACTTTTTCTATATGATCTTTTCTGGGGGAAAGTTTAAAATTATTTTTAAGTGCCCATTTTTCTTTTCATTAGATTATATTTTCTTTCATTTAGCCTGTCACTTGTGTGTTTATCATATACCAAATGCTGTGCTAAGTCTTTGTATAGCATATAGTCTCAGGTGTCATGGATATCTTTGGTATCTTACTACAAAATTTTATTAGTGAGAAGAAAAGCCTGTTAAATGACCAGTAAAAAAATCAAAATACATATATAAAACTTGGGATAAAATTGGTAAATATGAAGTGCATGATATAAAAACAGGTAGTAGTGATTTTTTTATTTAAGAATTTATATATCTTTTGATACATAAAACGATTTGTAGATATGTATGGGTCACCATAATGTTTCAGTACATGGATACACTGTAACATTTAAATCAAGCTAAGCATCTGTGTCCTCAAACATTTCTTTATGGAGAAACATTCAGAATCCTGAAGTTTTTTAGAATATACATTATTGTTATAGAATCACCGTACTCTACAGTACTACTGTGGAGCTTCTTGCTCCTATGACTTAGTATCCATTGATTAAACCCCACCCCCCAACTGTGCCTTGCCCCTAGTAACTATTATTCTATTCTGAACCTGTTCTGAATCAGCTTTTGTAAATAATCCCACCTTTGAGTGAGATCACAAAGGATTTATTTTTCCATGCCTGGTTCATTTCACCTAAAATAATGATCTCCCTTTCTTCCCATGCTGTTGAACATCCCAGGACTTTTTTATGGCCGAAGAGTGTTTCCTTGTGTTTACCATACTTTCTTTACCAATTCAGTAGTTTAAATAATCTTGTATCCATTTCTTGGTTATTGTGAATAGTGTGGCAATAAAAACAGGGCAGCAGAAGTCTCTCTAAAAGACTAATTCCGATTGGATGTATATCCATAATGGTGTTGCTGGATCATATAGCAGTTCTACTTTTAGTTTTTTGAGTCTTCCATGCTGTTTTCCATATGACTTTGGTTATTTATATGCCCACCAATGTAAAATGGTTTCCATTTCTCTACAGCTTAGTCTGTAGCACTTGTTATCGCTTGCCTTTTTGGTAACAGGCCACTCTTACTAGCTTAAGGTGATACCTCACTGTGGTTTTGACTTGCATTTCCCTAGTGGCTAATGATGCGGAGCATGTTTCTATTTTTGGCCAGTTGTGTGTGTTCTTTCAGAAATGTCTACTTACATCTGTCGGTCATTATTAAAATTAGGTTATTATGTTTTTGCTGCTGAGTTTCTGGGATTCTTTATGTTCTGGATATTAACCCCTATTTAATGGATAGTTTTCAAATACTCCCATTCCGTAAAATGATTTTTTTCTGTTATTTCCTTTAGCAGCATTTTAAATACCAAATTCTTAAAAAACAAAACAACAGTAACAAACTGACTATTTTAACTGGTTAGTTTGTTTCTAGTAATGTTCATTTTTTTCACTGGTATGACTACTCAGAATATTTTATAACAGATTTTGTTAGTAAATCCTGTTTTTCTAAACTTCAGCACTCATTTGCAAGCAATCTTTCCTTCAAGTAACAACCTAGGTCAAGCTTAGTTGTCCTTAGATTTAAATTTGGACCACTAGTGAATTTTTAGAGCTATGAGTGGTAAAATAGCTGTACTCCACGTGGTATCTGATTCTCACGTTCTATGAAATATGCTCCACTGTTTGCAACTTCATTGTCATATTTAAAGTAAAGCTACTAATGTGTCCAGAGAGGCAAACTCTGAGGAATTAAGACTGTTCAGTTAGGATATTCAAGTCTAGTTTTGGTGCTATATAAGATGCCCTGTTACATGTCTACTCTACCAATTTAGTAATTGCATTTCATAGCCATTCTGAGCATCTCAGTCAGTGACTGGAAATGAAATTGAAGTGTGGTAGGTTCTAATTTTGGCTAACCTCAGAAAGTACTTAAATAGTGAATCTTCAATTTTCTTACGTAGAAAATAACAGAGTAGGTGTTTCCTAGATCCCTTTTTTCTTTCCCATTAAATAGATAAGATGTGGCAGTAGTAATAAAAATGAAATATGTCTGGTAGTATGCCAGAATAGAGACAATACACTTAAAAAGATTTTTGTCTTACAGGTTTTATGGCAGAATTGTAGAAAAACTTGGTGACCATGATCCTGAGACCCTGGAAGCAATTGCAGAAAATGCAAAAGGCTTGGGTGGAATATCAGGAGAGAGGATTTGGGTGGAACTGAAAAAAATTCTCACTGGTAACCATGTAAATCACTTGATTCATCTTATCTATGAGCTTAAGGTGGCTCCTTACATAGGTAAGAACAAATTAGAAAAATGTTTTAATATTTGGCAATGAAACATTAGTTTAAAATTTCATAATAAAAGGTGTTTGACTCATTTAGGTGAATTTATTTTAAAACCTTCCAAGATGAGTTAGGGTAGGGCATGTTTGTCATGGGGAGGCTTCTGGTGTGAGAGGTTTAACAAGGCTCTGTACTTAGTTTTATGACTTGCATTAGTTTCTAATAAAAAGGGGACTAAAAACAGCAGCACCTATCTAATAGGATGTCTGAGTTAGTAAAAGTGCTTGTGTTAGAAGAGTGCTTTATACATACAAATGGAACATAAGCATTGCATGATTAAGATGCATAAGGAACAACTGGGCTGTATGGTTTATGAATGTATTTCAAACTAAGACATAATTATTGAACAATAGGGCTGTGAATATTATATATCAGTACAGTTGTGAGTTGGATTATAAAAAGTATCATTGGTGAATCTGACACCACTACTTTAGTGTATCTCCTGAAATAACTCTGTAATGGATACAAAGACTTTAGAATTCCTGTGGGGCTTGAGAGTGACTGCGGAGAAGACTGACAGTCACACTGGGCTAAAAGTCCCAGTGGCAGAGTACTTCTATATGCTAAAACAGTGGTTGGTTTTAGGGTATGTATTTTCTTCCTCAGTAAAAACAGATTATAAAATGATGCTTTTTATCCCTATAGGTTTACCTGCTAATGCAAGTTTAGAAGAATTTAATAAAGTCAGTAAAAATGTTGATGGTTTTTCACCAAAGCCAATGACTCTTTTGGCCTCATTATTCAGAGTACAAGATGATGTGACAAAACTGGATTTGAGGTTGAAGATTTCAAAAGAAGAGAAAAACCTTGGCTTATTTATAGTTAAAAATAGGAAAGACTTAATTAAAGCAACAGATAGTACAGAACCACTGAAACCCTATCAAGACTTCATTATAGATGTAAGTATATACTAGACTTTGTCAGAAAAATGACAAAACTTGTTAACATTTTAACAAAAATGTGTAACTTAATCTAAATGAAAAATTTTATAGAAAATACCATTTACATTTCAGGATAAAACTATATTCTAATATTTGATGAAACTAAATGTCTGTCTGGTCCTTAGTCCAGGGAACCTGATATGACTGGCCGTGTGTGTGAACTACTGAAATACCAAGGTGAGCACTGTCTTCTAAAGGAGCTGGAGAAATGGTCCATCCCCCCGTTTCCTGTGAGTGGCCATGACATCAGGAAAGTGGGCATTTCTTCAGGAAAGGAAATTGGGGCTCTGTTACAACAACTGCGTGAACAGTGGAAAAAAAGTGGTTACCAAATGGAAAAAGAGGAACTTCTAAGTTACATAAAGAAGCCCTAAAACTGTTAAGATCTGGTTATTAAAAAGTGGAAGCTTTTGGTAAGACTAATTATACCTCCTCACTCCTATTCCTTTTTATCAGAGTTAAGAAACTGTAACAGCATTGATGCCAGTGTAGAGGGCTCTCTTTAGAAGAACTCTTATTTTGTGGAATCTGATTTATTTACACCGCTGAATTTTATACTTATTTTGGAATACCTGCTACTGAGAAAAGTATAGTTCACTTCTATTTGTGTGGACTTTTAAAACGGAAATTTAAAGTCTTTAAGAAAAAAAGCTTAACTTTTATGAATCCCAAATGTAACTTGTGCCTGAAAAAAAAGTTGACAGATTTGCATTAAAATATGAATAACAATATCCTGAGTGGCTGATACTCCTGTCACAAGGTTCTTTACCTATACATGTAAAGCCTGGTGAAGTTACAGGATTAAATTGAGGATTACTCTCTAGATAGTCATTTAAATAAAACTTTTCCTTTGGTTTGGAAAAGTAAATGTGTGCAGGAGTTACTGTTCATAGTATCAGGAGTCATGGTTAGCCAATTTCTTTAAAGTGAACATTAACTACTTTTACTATTTGAAAGTTGTGTTTCAGCTCCTATATTGACCTTTTATACTTGATTTTTCATTTCTGCATAGCCAGTCATAGCATCTTTTTACTTTATGGGCAAATACCCATTTTTGGACCTTGGTAAAACAAGTTTTGAAAACACTTGTTTCTGCTAAAGCCCAACAAAAGTGAGACAGACTTACAAGAAAGAGAGCCTCAGAAACAGCTTCGCACAGGTCAGTAAGTATATCATACAACACTGAACTATTTAGACCCAGTGTCACATAATTGCTATTTTGTACAAGTATGCAGATTTAGCTGTTTTAGAGATCTGCCTTTATCACATTAATAAACAGTATAAAATGTTCTGAAATTGTACTTTTTTGGTTATAAAGGTAGAAGCTGTAATTTTCTCACCTGCATCCTGGTTTAGATTTCAGTGTGTGCAGAGTTTCGCCCTGTGCTACTGAAGAGGACTCCCTGGAATCCATCTGGAGTAAATCTGAGTGTGCAGAGTAGAACAGTCTCAGGCATACTGAATAAGGGAGGGCATAGCTGTTCTTGGGTAGCTTTGAATTCTTCTTACATAAAATTGTAGATGTGAAATTTAACAGCCTGCTTTTGGTCTCATACTACAGACTTGATTAAACATTTTTACCTGATTAATTTGAAGCATGGAAAGCAGTGAATAAATATCAAAACTAAAGTTAATTACACAAATGTAAGAGGGCCCACTTAAGCCATTGAATATATCCCCAAAGATTTAGGTGGTAATGTAGTCTTAGACTCATATCTCAAATATCATTTTTATACCTACATTACTTAAAGACAATGTTTAGTTTTGGTCTTACAGTTTAGATTGTTTTCAGTGTACATTAACCCACAAAATACAGTGTCCCCTTTGTTCTGCATGGAGAGAACATGTTTAGTTTCAAATTATAGTTTTGAAAAACTGCTTTGTGGAACATTGTAACTAGGGTTTAGCTTAACAAATACTTCAAGTACACAAAAACTGGTTTTGGATTCAAACTGCTTATTTTACTCTTTAATATTTTGAAAATTTACAAGTCACTGTCAGAGAAGCTAAAGATAAAAAAACCCAAAGTCCTTTTAAAATAATGTACGCAGTCTTGCCTCTCATGTACTTGTGCTCAGCACCCCAGCTTTTAGAACTTTCACCACTGACAGTACTGTGGTCAATATGTTCTCTCCTAAATAGGATCGGATGATTAATTCATTATGCACTAGGTAGTCACGTCACTTTCAAAGATGTCTCATGTCTTAAAAACAACAGGTTTCCAGACATGGCACATTCCACAGAACCATAGCTCTAAGCTACTCAGGTAGGTGTTTCTTAAACCCAACTTGTAGTCTAGAGTGATTTTTAGCTTCTCTGAAAGGGTACTGGAACTTAAATCCTCAAACACAGTTGGTCTAAGAAACCATAACTGTCCTTGTAAATGTTGCTGATTTATATATGAGGCAGTAATTTCCAAAGCAGATTTCATCAGAGAATTTGTTAGTTTGCTTTACCCTACCATATCCATTTACAAGCAAAGTATTACTTTGTCTGGGCTTAATTCATCATCAGTGTCTGGGATTGTGGGCAACAAAGCAGATCGAGTCAAACCCCAGAATTTTTGAGGTGACATGTCCTTCTTGGTAGCTGTAAATTTCCATCCAATATGGCTTGCACAGATCCTACACTGGGCAACAGTCCAGGCATACCTACAAAATAAAAGATAGTGGATAAGAAAACATTTTTATGGGGCCAGGGAGATAGCTCAGTAGAATAAGCGCTTCCCTGGCAAACGCAAGGGCAAGGGCCTGAGTTCTATCCCTAGTTCCGCCAAAAAAAAGAAAAAAAACAAAAACAAAAAAAAACATGCCTAAATCTATCCTATAAACCTGTTACAAAGAAAAATCTTTCAAATTTTAAGAATTTTAAAAGGATTTAAAATACAAGCACTGGACTAAGATTTAATCTGTACATTTCATGTGCCAACCTTCTTCAAGTAGCCATAAATCTGCTTTACTCTTAAAGCCATGTCTAAATTTTCCCTCTATTGCAAAGAGAAGAGAATCTTGCTACTATATACTTCTTTATACAGTTTATTCTAAGTTTCATTGGCTTTCCCTTTGTTTTCTACTACAATCACCTGTAGAAATATGCACTTAATTTTTATGAATTACATTAGATGAGGTAAGGAGATGTTCCATGTAAGGTTTTAGAACTGCCATAAAATAAGATGATCAGTAAGTATAAATCGGTGATACTTTTGTTCTTAAGGTCAATACATTAAACTGTAATTGCAACGATTAGTTTTTTTCTAGGTATAATATCTCACATTTAGCACTTTAGTATTTACAAATAAATTGTAGTTTTAGTTCAAATACATTACCACAATCCTTGTCAGCAGGTCCTTGGTCTAGTACATGTGTGATCACTAATCCTTACCTAGCGTCTCTTTTTCAAACTACACGGTAACCCAGAATTTGAGACAAAAAGATAAGTCAAGCTCTTTAAGGTAATGAAGCAGAGAGGACTCTTCAAATTCACAAGAGCTGTCCCTAGGGGCATACTGAGAACTACTGGGCTAAAATAGTATGTAAATGAAAATAAACTAAGGCCAGGGAAATGGCTTGGTAGAGTAAGTGCTTGGGGCTGAGTTCAAAACCCCGGTTCCACCAAAAAAAAGAAAAAAGAAAAAAGAAAGAAAGAAAATAAACTTGTTAGTCTGTCAAGTGCTTAAAAAACCTACTCTGCTTGTATTTCCACAGGCTATGATACAAACATAGTTTTAATGAATCATAAAATAGTTGATTTTTAGTGAAGTCACAGAAAATTAAAATAACTAGGTTAACTATAGTAATTTGTGGACAACTATAATTGTTGACCTTTGAGCTCCCTAAACATACTGAAGAGTTAAAAAGTAGGATAGATATTTCTGTCCATGGACTTAAGAGCATTTTAATAAAATTACTCATGCCATACCTATTTTTATTAAAATTGTAGCTAGTTTTTTGTACTTAGTGAAGGTAAAACAGAAACAGAACAAAGCAACACCACTGGTGTATTACCCAGGAAACCAACTGTGCTCTGTAGAAGGCCGGCTTGTCAGATTCAAGTTGCAAGCTTTATATACGGTAAGCGTTTCATGAACATATCCATGAGGGTTCACATAAGCAGCCATTGGCCCACACAAGGATAAACTAAAACAAAGATAAACATAGATGAGCTCAATATGAAGAGGAAAAACAGGTTTTTTCTAAATAGTTAGGTTTTCCCCTAAAGTTAATCAAACAGTGATGTACAAGCTAGACTTAAATCTTTTTAATCTTGTACTTACTTGGTACAAGGTCTTACTACGCAGCTCAGCCTCTCCAGTACGAGGATTACAGGCATGCACCATCACACCCAGTTTTTTGTGGCTGGCGCAGCACACCCAGGTTCTGGGCTGGCACTGCATGCAGTACCAGGGATTGAACCCAGGTCTTTGTGCTTGCCTGGCAGGTGCTTAGACCACCAAGCTATCTGCCCAGCCCCTGGACTTAATCTTTTTGATAAATACCAAAACCTTAGTGTTCAGAATAAAAGGTTGGGCAGACATCCCAGTTTTGTTCAGTTAAATTATGATGACCCAAGGAAAATAGTAATAGCTATAAAACTCTCCTCAAGATTATGTATATTAAGGTCTTGGGGATATAGCACATGGGTATAAGTGCCTGCCTGTCAAACACAAAGTTCCTGAGTTCAATCTTGGGTACAAAAAAAATTTTTTTTTTTTTTTAGGTTTTATATAATAAAAACTTCTTATCTGATCTGAACTCATTGCTTTGTAGACATGTAGACATCAGGTTTTGGTTTTTTTTTTTTATCTTGATGATTTATAATTCTAATGAATTTATCACAGAATAATTCTCAAACAAGATTAGTACATGTTTAGAAGCATGCCCTTCTTTATGCGGCAAAAATGACTGAAGTATGTCTCAAGCATTCACATTAGGCCTTTAAGCACTGAGAACATACTCTAGTACTTCACAGTTTCAGCAAGAATAGAAAAGAAAGGACTGTGTAGTTGTTTACCATCCTCATTAGTTGTATTTTCTTACACATCCATTGTTGCTGTCTATCTTAACTGGAAGAAAGCATTCCCTGAAACTGCTAATTACCTCAATTTACAGAATGCAGGGAAATTACTAAGATAATAGGTGACATATGCAGAAGGATATTAGAAATATAAGCTTACCTGAATATTTCATTTTTGGTTGTTATTTCTGTTTCTTGACATTGTTTACAGCAAAGGGAAGTACACTAAAAATTTTGAGAAATTATCAGTGGCAATGAAATTACATAGCTCATCAAGAAACTTGTAATAGAACAAGAAAACTTTGAATCTGAGATCTGCTAATTATGCACTTATGAAAAAATGATTTTCTAGAATTTTTAAAACAGTGGTATTATGAGGAATGTTTTATAATTTGCACAAGGTTCCAAAAAGGAATTCATATTTGAAGTATATAAAACATCTCAAGTTTCTACAGGCTTGATCCCAGTTGCAATTTTTAAATTTCAAAGCCCGAGTATCTTTTCTAGGCAAGTAGAAGCATTTCAGATTTTGGAGTATCTGCATAAATTTACTGGACTACTCCTGACCCTAGAATGGTGCAAAATGTTTCAGCAATATTCAGTCTGCATTAATATTTTTAATGTAAACCATGACAGGTGAACAATTTTCTCTATGTGACTAGGTAATTGGACTTTACATATAGCTTTATTGATCCCAACAGGGCATTCTAAGTTTTTAGCCTGATGAAACCTGAGTATCACAAAATTTTACTCACTTTATTCATAATGTCTAATTCACAGCGAAGTCGTTGGATAGCACTACCAATTTTAAGTAGTTGAATTCTTAAGACATCATCAATAGGAAGGCAAGCAGCTACTCTGTAAGAAAAATCTTAGAGACATGGTGTAACTTTTAGGTTTTTAACATTTCTGAATCAGATTAACTTACAAACCTGCTGTTCTTTTGAAACAGAATGCTTCTGAAATACACCAGCTATTTTCCTTTTAATTAAAAGGGGGTACCTAGTCCATGTTCAAGTGATTATCTATAACCACTTAAGTGGTTGTAGATACTGTATGTCAAGCCCTGGAGTTAGGGTCATTTATAAAGTTAAAAAATAGGAAAAAGATTGTCTACCATCAGGAAACATTTTTAGACAGCCACCTCTTATGGAAAATTTGCACGAAAGTATTCACAGTATATTTTGTCAACAGCTTAAAGCAAATGAAAAGTAAAGTTCTGAAATTTCTTTTAGCAGCATATCAAGGCCAAAGGAAACTAACTTTTCGTACCTATTGGATTTGAAGGAAGAGAATCATCTTTAAGATTTTCATCCCATTCACGTAGCTGTTTCTTAATTCTATCCATTAAGGTTTCCTTAAAATAGTCATAATAAAATCCTGAATTAATATTGTTAGCTTTTCAGCATTTTTTCAGTGAAACACTAATATACAGGTAACACTTCTAGTCACGGCTGTGTGATGAGATCTCCAACCTGAGGCCAAGCTTCAATGTCTGCTTTCCTCTGCAAAAATAACCAAGGCCCAGTCCTCTGCTAAGCCGAAGTTGTCTTCCCACACTTTCCTCACCCCTAGTCTGTCTATCCCATGGGACACATTTTCATCTGGGAAAGCTGTTCTAGGTTTCTGTGAAGCCAGCCTAGCCTGCCCACCCTTCCTGTCTCGTTCCCTCCCCATGCCTCAATGTATAGTTTATGTGGCATTCATTTACTACTTGTACATTCAACTGGCATTCTACAAAGTACTCTGGTATGGAGCATGGTGTGTATAATGGCTCACAAACTGCTGCAGTTTCCTTTAGATGTGCATATATCTTAAGTTGACAAAACCTACTTCGTTTCCCCAAGACTTCAGATTTGTGGGTGAAGTGATTTACAAAGAAAAATGAGTATTTGTTGAAAACCGACCATATACCACATATATTTACTGCTGCTATCACCATTTTCTACAAACTTAAGAGAATTTGCCTCCAACCCAAAGTGATAGAAAGTGGGCTCTGAACCCAACTTTTGTAACCAAAACCATGTCTTTTTGTGTGGTATTGAGGGTTCAATTCATGTGTGCTAAGCAAGCACTCTTCCTCTGAGCTACATCACCAGCCCTAAACACAAACATTCTTTAAACTAGTCTAGCCGTTTGCCTCTTTGAATGTTTTGTAAAACATGGTAATGATCAATGTTGAATTTTGAGGAACAAAAGCATTCAAGGATGCATTAGTAGACCGATTAGTGATCAGAAGATAAAAGTTAGTATTATTTAGAGAAAATACAAAACATCACTGCATAAGAATTTTCTGTAACTACCACTCAATTCAAAGAGATTTCTGGTGCTTAATATTAAAATATCACATCTTTCCCTTAACTTCAAGGCACTAGAGACTTTAAAAATCTATAAACAAGAAAAAGTAATACCTATGACTCCTGCCTGCTGTTACTTTATAATAAATGGTATTAGTTCTGAAAATGAAGTGAAAGCTCTGTTTTGTTTTTGTTAACTTTAACCACGACATAGCTTTCCGCAGTACCTGAACGTGAGTACTTACAGCATCGTATAATGAATATAGCCAGCGAGGCCACGAAGTCAGATTTGCACAGTGAAACTTTCTCTGAAAGCAGAAAAATAAAGTCATTTGAAAAATTAGAAGATGATATTGGCACCTGTGCTGCCAATGTAAGCACATGAGTTTTATGTTAGGAAGGACAAAGATTTTGTAGAATAAATTCCGTAACAAATGATTAGTCACATTGGATGGTCATGCTTTTATATCCTAATTCCTACTGAAGAAGTTTAAATATAGTCATACAAAATTTGATGAAAAAATATGAGAAATGCATATGTTGTTGCTGCACAAGCATCACAGAAAATGCTTATGCAGACTTAGATGATAGCCTCACAGAAGGTAACCAGACACCTAGGCTACATGATACTCTACTGCTTTAGTCCTGTTAAGTATGGCATTGAAAACTACAGGCAACTGTAGCACAGTGGTGAAATACTTGTGTATTTAAACATAGAAATGGTTCAGTAAAAGTATCTAAATAGATAAAAAAAAAAGTACACCTGGATAGGGCACTCAGCAGGCTCTACAGAGCAACTGTATTCAACATAGGTCAGGGAGAGACTACAGAATGCAAGTGAGGGCCTAGAATCTTGTTCTAAGCTCTTGTAGACTTACACGTAGGCTATGCTGACTTTATATACATTTTTCTTAAGTAATAAGCTCATTGTTTTTCTACTTTATAAACTTAATGTTAAAAAACATTTTAATTTTTGTAAAATAACAGTTTAAAATGCTGCACAGTTGTAAATATTTTTTATGCTCTTATTCTGTAAGCTTTGTTCTACCTACAAACTTTTCTTCTTAAATATTTGTTAAAAATAAGCTACACATCCAGTCCCCAGCACTACAAAAACAGCAGCAGCAAAAACTGAGAAGAAACCTTAGCTTAGGTTTACACCAGCATACTGGGCATACAACGCATGACGCTCTCATGTCATGCAGTCTGACATTACAAAAATTACTAAGCTAACAAATGATGGGAATTGAATGTTTAGCTCCATTTTCTCGCAGGGCTATGAGGCCTAAGAATGAGAATTTTAAGTACAAGATGATTCAGTAAAACAAGGTTAACCTTTAGAAAAAGACCTGTTATGAGCATATTAGTTGCCTTTATCCTAGGCACTGTCTTTGTGATTAAAAATAGTGAAGCTTAAAATTTTAAAAATTTATTAAAGGAAAAAGATACTGGATTGCAATAAAACATGCTAAACTAGGGCTGGCCAAATAAACTCAAGTGGATTAAAGTGCCTGCAACCACGTGCAGGGGCTGGGGGCGAACCCTGCATGCTGCCATGCCAGCCCTGCCCCAGGGGCACACTGAGACAGCAACTGAGACTGGGCAATGCTGACTGGGCTGGGCAATGTTGACTGGGCATGGTTGCACAGGCCTGTAATCCCAGCTCTCAGGAGGCTGTAAAGAGAAGAATCACTACAAGTCCAATCTAGTAGTGAGACCCTTAATACTCCGTAGACCCTTCCCTAAAATACAGAAAAAAAAGCAGCAACATGCTAAAATGAAATATTTTCCTTTCATGATCATTGATTTTTGAGGAAGAGCTGAAAGTTGCATAGTGCTAGATCTGGTGGTAGATGAGGGCAGAGTAATGTTTTTATAAAGCTGACTTTCTGTTGCATGATATGCAATGGCAGCATTCACTGCATTTGTTTCTAATCAGTCCTTGTAAAGATACTTTCAAAAGAGGACTTTTAGAACTGCTTTAGATACTGGCAAGAATGATGGGATAAGTGTTCCTCCCAAAGTAGGGAAAATGATGTATGTCTTTACTAAAAATAATTTTTTATTTAAACATTCTCTATATATTTGAATTACAACTTACATTATTGGTGGTGAAAAATACATTTCAAAATGTCTGTAAAATGTGATGAAATCCCCAAAATACTAAAATGATCACTAAGTCCCATTTCCTGAACACCAGGAAAAGGAGAAAATCAACTACCTAACTCCTGTTAATTTAGGATGTAAATAAAAACATGCCTAAATCTATATAAAAATGTGAAAACAAAATTTCAGTATTTGAAGAGAAGATATAATGGTGATATCAGTCCTCAATGTATATATGCAATGTAATGCCAGTAAGACAGATTTATAAGCATAATTTAAACATTTATTTGGAGAAATAAACGCATAAAACTAAAACATTTTTGAAAACAGCTAATGTTCTATAACAAAAAAAGATGACTAGAAGGAAATACTATACTAGTGCTGTTAACTGAAACAAACTGGACAGCAACAGAATACATGAATGTTACTGGGGAATAGTCTATGTATTGGATCAAACTGCAAAGTACATTAAACCTACAAAATATAAAAATGCTCATATTTTTTCTCAAAAGTAAATTTCACATGGTATAAATGTAGTTTCATTTAAAAACAAAAAAACATGAGACATAAAACTAGGATGGAAAAATAGGCAATTCAAAACAGATCAGAACAAGAAAAGCAAGGAAATACTTAACAAAATAAAAGATCCTATCTTTCATCTGCATGACCAAATGAACAGATATGAAATAGGGAAGTCAGGGGCCGGGGAGATGGCTCAGTGGAATAATCGCTTCCCTGGCAAGCGCAAGGACCTAAGTTCAATCCCTGGTTCCACCAAAAAAAAAAAAAGGAAGTCACATACATGAAGACAACAAAGAGCACCTGATAGTCATGAAATACGCTATGCAACTGTGCACACTATTCACTCCAGTCTACCTAGTTGTGTGACAAAGCTACAATCTAACAACAACAATGCTGCTCTATTTCATTATCATAAATAGGAACTTCAGTTGTCAAACAAAATGTCTTAAGATGGAGTGTTTTTTGGAATGTCTCTCAAGGGAACATAAAAATTTTTTCAAGTATTTTAGAAGCTGTTACATAGCACAGACAGACCTATCCTAAACAGCTTAAAGGGCACAGCTAAAACCAGTGGATCCTTTACTGAGGAAAGAAACTTGCTTAATGTAATCCTTTTCTGAAGCTACCCCAAAATGGCCTGGAAAGGTTTCTTATGACATGCTGAAGTACTGTAATAGTTTAAGCCTGAGTCAGACCATAAAACCTTTAAGGTACTTTGCAATAAACTGTGCCTTAAGAGCAAATGTCTAATGCTGAGAATTACTGTCACAGTCCACTTACAGAATTAAAACACAGTCCTGCCCCCCACCAAATTGCAGTAATTCTGGGTATTTTAAGAGAAGCAATGTCACTTCTTAATGATGTGACAAGAAATTTACTTGTCTTACCCCTGTGCCTCCTACAAAAATTCCATTTTAAGAGTGGCACAGGATGATGGTAAACATCATCTAAAGCTGTTAACTGGGGAGTAGTCAGGATTTACGTACAAGAATTCTTCATTCAACATACTTGAAACAGGTAACTTTTGTCAGGCAGTGCTTTTATGCATTTGTGATGACAGTGAGTAGGACAACTGAAGACTGAAATTATTATTGCCTCATAGGGCTTGGATTTTAGTATAAATCCCTCATTGCTCTTCTGTCAAGCTTTACAATATGCATGGCTAGAAGGCTTCCTCAAACTATGATTTCCCTAGCATGTATCATATATATTTGTATATATGTAAATATAGATTAGATTTATAGATCTGTATCAATATATGTATCTGGGTTTGTCTAACTGCCGTAACTACCGTCTCAAGAGCAGTAAAGAAATAATCATTCAGTTCTAGTTCTCATTACCAGATAGAAATTTAGTAAATGAAAGAAAACAAGCCAATGGGTTCCAATTCTGGGTAACAGATTCATTTTAAGGACTTTTATGCCTAATCTTAGTAGTAAATCCTGTTCTCAAAATGAATACTACTTAAGTATCAGTCAGTGGACACTTTCAAGAGCCTAAATTTTTGGTTTTAAATTTTTCTTCAGGTATAATCATTTTATAAAATAAATGGTGCTGATATTCTTGCAGAATGCCTATAAATTTTTAGAGCTTACCATCAGTGTTACCCAGATAAAGACAGGAGGGGCCAGCGAGATAGCTTAGCAGTCTAAAGCACCTGCTTAGGGAAGCACAGGGGACTGCAGCTTGACCCTGGCACCACATGCCACGCCAGCCTTACCCTCAGGATGGACTGAGCCAGCCAGAAAAAAAAAAAAAAAAGACAGGAGACCTCTGCCAAAAAGCTAAATGGGAGGGGACTCACACATTTCAGGATGTTGAAGACTCAAAATCTGGACAGCTGTTCTAGAAAAGCTAGCTCATCTTTTGTGGTATACTTCTCTTCAGCTTGTATAGTTATATAAAACACATCTCACAAATATGAATGGTGTATCAAGTCTACTTAGTTGATTTGTAAATACAGCTTCTAGAATCTTTCAGGATAACACAGATAAAGAATTTCAGAGGGCTTACTCTAAAAAGGGGACTGAGGTAAGAATAGTTTTGTGCCAAGTTTTTGGGTTTTTTTCCCATAATTTTATTGAGAAACAAATAGCAATGAGACAGTTTCAAATCAAATTGGCATGACAGTTTCAATAATTAACACAGTGCATACTCTCTTCCTAGTGGTTATTTGCTGTACAAGATGCCGACATGATATCCTATTTACAAACACTATTACAACAAATTCCTCTATTCATTAAGAGAATGTAACTATATATCTATCCAAACCACTTTGAATACACAGATACAAAATGTACATTCATCTGTATCCTCTTTTTTGTTTAGTTCCGTCATTTGAATACTATAGGTGTGCTAACTCAGCAAAATATTCTAAAAGAGTCCAGTAGTCCATAATAGTATTGGGTCTTCCTCTTGACTGGCAGTGTTAGAAACTGCTGACCTGAGTCCCCTACAGCTCAACGTAACACCATGGCTTTACCTCTTATGCTTCGTTTTTATACTTTTCTGCTGAATGGTTAAGACCAAGATAAAGCAAGACCTAGCCAACAAGAGTTGTAGCTTTTGGGTCTGATAAGGTCAGTCAAATCCCCTCAGGATTTATGCTGAGATCCTGTACCTCAGATTGTAGATCCTTTGTTAATGTCAGCCATGTGGATGAGTTACAACCATTGCTTGGCCAATGTGTTCTCTGTGAAAGCCTGAGAGAATGTTTTCTCTCCATGTAACTCTACTTAGGCACACTCTACATCATCGATCACTTTCCTCTTTGGCCCCATAATCTCCTTGATCAGAAAATTTGGGACACAACTGAGTTACATGACGTTACAGTACAAGTTCTCATATGTCCTGAGTCTTAATTGACCTTGGAAGGCTAGGGCCAAAATGTTGGCTTTCCTTATGGCCCTCCTTTTTCTCTAATTTTGGTCCATAAACTTAGGTTGTTAACCCTCCGGAAGAGGCGTTTTGTTTTCTTTACAATTGAAATTTATATATAAAGAGTAGTTTTCATTTTTCTTATCCTGATAATAGGTGCCACACCAAATTACATGTTGGTACTATACATTTGTACATTGTTTTGTACTACAAAAATGATTGTTTCACTATGGAAAATATATTTTAATGGGCATTTAATAAACTGGTTCATTTTTACACAACTTATGAACTGTCAGTGATTTCAACAGTGTGGTAAATACAATTAAAAATTTAAAAACATTTGGCCTGTGATAAAGGGAGCACCACAAATGAATGGGGTAAGCATGGACTCTGCAGGAAATAATGAGACAATGAAGAACTAGCTGGAAAAAAGTGGAAGTCACATTATGATAAAATAGGGACTCGAGAATTTTGTGAAATCATTACATACAAGAAAAAAAAACAGGACATTCCTTTCACAGGAAGTGATTTAGAATAAAGAGGCACAAAAATTTTATTTCTTCTAGGATTTCACTAGCAGATGTTAAAAGTGTGTGGAAACACTTGCAGAGTCAATTGAATACATCTCAAGCAAACTATGCTCCTGGATCCTTCAACTTTCCTGATGTAAAAGTATATGGCAATTTAATCAGCTTACATTACTTAGTACCATGCAAGTATCTCTCCTAACATGTACTGTTTCTTTTAATGGTGGAATGTGTAAGTCAAATGCCAGTAAATTCTATGAAGAGGAATGAAACGACTTCCAGATTTTCTCTAAAGAGAAACACTGTTTCATAGTCCAGCTGCAAGTGTAGCATGCAAAGCTCCCACCAGTGGTATCTGCCATCCCTTTTCTCTATACTAGATTCCAGTTTCTTTTACACATGGAAATCTCTCTTTAAAGCAGAAGGGTTTGTAGATCATCTGGGTCTAAAATAGACTAATAATTTCTTTTGACTTAGTGATCTAGATCCCAAATTTTAGTCTGAAACACCTCAAGACTTTAAACACATGAACTCTTCCAACAGTGTGAAAATACACTGTATACAGGATGAAGGCATTTCCATTTCCTAAAATGTTTATGCATCTAATTCATTCTTGACTGCCTTGCTAACTTTTCCAGTGAAAACTAAGTGAGAAATGTTTGACAGTCCAGGATAGAGAAAAAAAGACAACAGCTTTCGGTCACATAATCTCATCACAAACAAATAATGTATATATTCACTTGGTCTTTGGAAGTCTTCCCTTGTTCCTGAGGAGCTAGTGACAACCCCAGTGTAAAACATAAACTCTGAATTCAGTGTGATCATGCTGTGGTGCTTTTACCACAGAATGGGAAGATTTTAATCCCATAAAATTCACACAAAAATTGATTTTCAAGAAGGCTTATTTGCTTAACTGAAGTCCGGGTTTAAGATTATAAGATCCTGAAAACAAGGTGGAATTAGTGGTACAGTGTGTTTGTCAAGTATAAACTACAGTTGTTTTCATCCTATGCTTAGAAGTTTGCAAAGACTAATTCAAGATTTTATTTTGTTGCGGTCTCACTACACTATATATCCGGCCCTAATTTGAGATTTTTAAATCGCTAAAAGTTTTAATAACCCATTCTGGTATGGAAGAACTATATGAATTTAAGACTGTCTAGAAATATCTAATTGAAATAAACACGTTGATATGGAGGTGAGAACGGAGCATCCTGATACAGTTACCTTGCCACATCAACATTATTAAGGTAATACCTGGTGTAAATTCTGAAACCACTCCTTGGAGCCCACCTACTGATGGAGCTCTCCTTGATGTACTTATTTTACAATAATGTTCAAATTCACCATGGGATCCAAACTTCTCTCTATTGTATTGTCAAATAGGGAACAGCTGGGCATGGTGGTACATACCTGTAGTGTCCATACTTGGGAGGTTTAAGCATGGGCCACAAAGTGACTTTAAGACCAGCCTGAACAACACAGTGAAACTGCATTCTCTTGTTCTTGCTCTCTCTTGCATTCTCTCTTGTGCGCTCGTGCTCTTTCGCGCTCTCGCTCTCTCTCTCTCTCTCTCTCTCTCTCTCTCTCTTTCTCACACACACACACACAGACACACACATGTATTTGATTTGTAATAAATTTGGGAAAGTATTTCACAGCTATACAAAAGTTCCCTGCAACTTATGGCAACATCAGATAACTAAGCCTTTAAACAACAGTACCCTCATGGTTGTTGGGGAGTCTCTAAGCACTCTATACCTTGTACTAGAAACTTTTTGGACATACTTATTAAAACACACTATCACATAAGGCTGACCAATGAATTGATCAGGATATCTACAGGTGCTGTCAGTCACAAGCCTGACATCCATCAAAGACTCCATTCTACAAAGAGTTCTCTCCGAAAACTGGAGAAATTAAAAGTGGTAGTGTAATCAAGAGTATTAGCCCTTTTTATGTTACCACCTTACATCAAATTAGGACCTTATGTTCTCTTACATAAAAATTTAAAACTGTCACTACGTGACAAAGGTATGATTACCAAAGGACTGTCATCATTACAATGAAAACTGTTGATGTATTTTTAGAAGATAAATATCAAAAAACTGACTCAGTCTAAATGTAGAAACTAGTAAACCTTTTTTTTAGGCAGAAAGCATTATTAATAACTTTTTTCCCCTTAAAGGCATAATATTACGCATGAATAAAAAGAGGCTTTTGTATTCTTCCTAAAAGAATAATTTTGCCAAAAGGATGCAACTAAGAACTAATGCCCAAATAAGCGATACTTTTAAAGTTCACTGAATTTCAGGTCAACTTTTATGGGTCAACACTATGTTCTGAAACAGACAAAAAAAACTTGTATAAAAAGCCTAGAAGAAGGAAAACATTTTACTTTCCTGCTTCCACTCTGTGCCACCTCAATCTCACCTTCTCCCTTTAAAGTAATACATGTTTATAGCTCAACAGCCAAACATGACCGATCACAATTTATCAGCTTCCTAATTAAAAGTCATAAGCTACTGATACAAGACTGATACATATAAATTAAAAATGCTTTGGAAACACTATCACTAAAAACTATTTTTCATAAATAGCTGCTTCCGAAACTTTTAAAAGCTTCAACTATGATCAAATGCAGCTATAGTACTGTCACAGAAGGTGTCTGGGAATGAATCAAGTGTCTTGTTTGTGATTCTTTAAACAGGAAAAAGCAACCTGTCTTAATTTTTTGGAAGATGCATAAAAAATTAGTTTCTCACCTTCTGGTATTTCTGCCACCATTTACATGAATACTGGTCTTCCCATGAGACAGGTTTTGAAGGAAATATCTGGCATTTATTGAGGGATTCTAACTGAACTGCAGACATAGTTGAAGGCAATACACATTCAGGAAGAATTTGCACTTTAGCTTGCTGGATTCTAAAATAAAGAGAACCAAGCAGGGTGTTCATTTTTAAGATAAACTAACTCAAACTATACGTTTCTACACATTGAAGGTAATTTTTTAATATGACTTTCTATGTTTTCTTTTAAATACTCACCAAATGCTAATGATACAAGAATTTTTCACAGAATGTCATAAATTACACCCAAATTAATACCAATAATAACCTACAGCATGGATCTTCAATCTCGTGAAATTAGAAGGAAAAATCTTTACATTTCAAATAAAGTCATAAATGAAACACAGTTTTTTTTTAATTTTTTGGTCAATCATCATTCAGCTTACTGCTACTTATACTAACACTTGTAATTTTACAGGCTGCTGCGACACCCTGGCCCTCCCGTCTGCTCTATTCCCTATGCCCCCCAAATCTTATATGCATTTTTTCTCATCTATCATCCTATCTTAGGAACAGGTATAGAAAGGAAAATAACAAACCTATTTACATTGGTAGTTAAAGAATAGAGGATTACATGGAGCCTTTATTTCTATGTGTATTACTTTACTCTTAAAATGTTCATTTGTAAGTGATCAAAGTATGCATCACATTTTTCTTAAGAAGTATTTAAGGCCAGCCTAGGCTACAAAGAGAGTTGAAGGCCAGCCAGAACTACAGTGTGAGACCTTGTCTCACCCCCCCAAAAAAAAAATCCCACATAATTGTTTTATGTTAGGGCCAGGGAGATGGCTCAGTAAAATAAGTGCTTCCCTGGCAAGTACAAGGGCCTGAGTTCAATCCCCGGTTCTACAAAAGAAAAAAAAAAAAAAAAAATTGTTTTATGTTGAAGTCAGCATTTCTAAAATGCTGAGATTGTAACTGAAAATGTAAGTAGAAAAGTTGTACCTATGAGGCACTGTCTATCCTGTCACGTAACTTCTGAAATGAAGATTATGACATCCATATGCTAAAACAAAGCACTTTCCAAGTAACAAAAATCAAATATACTTGAAGTCTTTGCTTCATTTTTATTTATGTTTAAAACCCTAATGCAGTGTTTCATAACAACCATTCTTTTTTTTCATAATAACCATTCTTGATCCACAAAAAGTTATAAATGAAATTCTGATATTCTTACTTACTCGTTAATTGAAATAACTAAGTGCCAAAATATCTAGCTTAACTTACTATTAGACACCTGCTCTACCAACTTCATTTTCTTTCTGGCATGCTCATTAAAACACTCAGAAAATGTATGGGTCTAGGACTTCAGAAAATAATTTTTAAATATTTACTATGCTCAAACCATGGCCAAATGTTTATATATTACGTTCTTGTATCAGTAAATACAAGACAATTCCATTTTTACATACCTGATGTATGGGCTCAAATAGTTTCATAATTATATTTTTAAGGTAAAAATTTATATAATCTTTTAGAACTTTTAGAAATCTGATTCATAAGGTTATTAGTAACTGAATTAAGAATTAGTTTTTACCAAGCCATTAGAAGACTTTCTTTATAATAAGATAAAAGCATACATGTTATGGAAACAGTGGCTTAGAAATCATGGTATAAATTCATTTACCATTGGAACTCCCTGGCAAGACTAAATCATGTCCATTTTCCCTGTTAAAGAGGCTCTTGAATACACACAGGTCTAGTTCTTTCCTGAGCAGTTGAGTTTTGTTTCTAACCCAGCTGCTTAGAGAAGAACTAGAAATAAACTGGTTTTGTTTCTTCCCAATCTGTTCATGGCACTTTTTTGAGTATAGCAACATAATCTATATAAATGTTAGAAAAACAAAATGAAATAGGAATATAAAAATAAAACTGTCTCAATAAACATTAAATATTTCAAATTAGTACACAGAACTCTAATAGTACAGAAAGAAATTGTACAAATATGGAAGGAGTCAGCACTGCACACACCTTGGGATGGCTTTGGAAAATCTAAAGAGAAACAGAAGGCACCAAAATGTAGGTAATGAAAATGGAAGCACAAAAAAATCTACAACCATTTCCAGTGTGTAAATCTGCTTCAAAAACCTTGAAATTAGTGAATGTGCATTTATACATTTTCAGTTAAAATGACATGTTTACAGCATATATATATATATGCATTTGTATGTGTGGATATACATATAAATTTTTAATTATCTAAATTATGACAAGAGGGTTCTCTCAGAATTCCAGGAGGATGTTAATCCCCTCTTCCCCTGTAGCTAAGAAACAAGAATTGTTGAAGTGAATTACAGTAACTCAATTTTCTTATTTTAAAAGAAAGTCCATGCATGCAGAAAATGATAAATTTTTAGGAAGGCTACCAGTTATGAGTATAGTTTTATATAAGAAACATGATTTAGAAAAAAAAAAAAAACACAAATGGATCTTAGGTAGTACTTCACTGGACTAGATTAGCTCTACAGTTTCTTGGATTTTATTTATTTATTTTTTGTGGAACCGGGGCTTTAACTCAGGCCCTTGCACTTGCCAGAGAAGCGCTTATTCCACTGAGCCATTTCCCCAGCCCTTGGATTTTATTGTTTTAAATAAAGGTGGTTACAGGACTGGGGGATAGTGCAGCCAAAGAAATCTCACTGCACAGAAACCTTTTAAATTGAAACACATTTTCCAGGAGGCCTTCATATAATCTACAAATTACTAGAGATTCTGGCTCTTAAGAGTTTGGCATTAATCTTCACTAGAGTCAAACTATATTCCTTGACCTGTTTTTAGAGTTAGTGATCTGCTGCCCTCTTGTGTTCAAAAGAGTTTTTCCACAAGTATCAGAAGAGAGCACGGTTTGAGAAATGTTTTCAGAAGTTAGTTTCACTTGTTTCTCAGTGTTTGCAAAAATAACGAAAACTGTCTAGGTCCATGGATATCAAATACTTTTAAAATGGCATTGTAAGCAAAATCCAAAGTTATAAAACAACTAATTATCATGATGCAGAGCCTTTGGAGATCTTTCTTTCATATAGTCATGTGATATTACAGTCCTAAACATAGAACGTAAATAAGTCTTAGTTACTGTTCTTAAACAGGTCCTCTGTGGAAAGAGGCAGACATACAACCCTTCAAGGACTTGTGAGAGAGTTTGAATGTTCTGGAAAGTACTAGGGAACAACGAAATCCCTGAGTTCAACCCCCATCCCATATTCCTCTATCCAATCTTAAGTCCACCTGACTCATCTACAGTTAGTTTCATGATTCAATAACTGTTATGCTACTATGTGAATGAGCTGATTCTTTTAAAAATTTTAACACAAACCCCAAAACCTTTTTGTATTCTGAAGACTGTGTGTAACAGACGTCTGATGAAATTTTCACCCAATTTACTAGTAGGGCTGGGATTCAAGAATATCTACAAAACTTCAAAAGTTATCTGTATATGCCACAGAAGACAAACACCCCATAAAAAGAACATCCTGTAGTCAAAATAAATGCTTTGCTTCATTCATTTGCTATAAAGATGAGCTGGAGTTTTAAAAAATGTGGTATTCCTTGATTTTAGGGAAAAAACCATATGAGCTGAGTCAAAATGAGTGACCTAAAAGTAATATACTCAGATAGCCTACAATTTGTAAGGTGTAGAAACAAAAATTTCGATCACATGTTAGTTTCACCTCTGGGTGATACAAAGTTTACTCTGCAAGAGAGGCAGTACAGGTACAGCTCAAATGAAGTAGTTGAAAGATGTAAACTAGCATGACTGTCAATATCAAACCTATCCTTGGGAGCACAAAGTATGCTCACAATCCTCTGGCGTCACTTCCCTTTTCTGCTGGCATGGGAGATCTTTCATCCCAAAAAAACACATGCTCCAAATGACTTTGGCTTTACATTAGTGTTCTCAAACCTGGAAATCATCCAGATCTACAGCTTCACCCTAGGCTAAACCACCCTCTAGGGGATGGGACGTAATACTGGATCTCAAGCTTCTGGAATTTTAAAACTTTTCCAGGTAATTTCGAAGCACACAAAGATTAGAAACCACTAGATTATACCTTGTAAGAGAAGGAAAACTCCTAGAAAAAAAGTTAGAAAATATGAAGGGTCAGAAAAACTACAAGAAAAAACATTTCACTATAAGATGTTCAGAACACTTTAAGACATGGTATTTCTTACCCATCTGACTGTGTTCTTAGCTCAAGGACTTTGAACCTCTGTCTTCCAATGGCTTTTACTTTCACTATTTCAATTCCAAAGTCTTGCTCTTCTCTGTAGGCATATATCTCTGCTGTTGTTCCAAACTGTGCTTCCCTTTCCTGTATATTACTTGCAGGGTAAATTTTAAAAGGAAAAAAAAAATTTGAGCATTTTAAAACACACTGATGACAAAAGCAATACACATTGTAAAACAACACATAGCAATCAAGTCACACAGCAAAGCTAGTATAATTTTTTAAAATAACGTGGAGAATATACAAGGACGCTTTAAGATGTAAGATGTATAGTTAGAACACCTAGGGAAGGAACTCTTTCTCACTGATATCTCAGACAAAAAGCCCTTTAACATATTGTCCAAACCAAACATTCTTCCACTTTGTTAAGCCATCATCTCTGCTGTTAACCAGCAGTTCTGCACTGGGTGGGTACATCCTGCATTTGTTTCCTGCCGCCACAGAATTCCTTCATGTGCTACCAGACATTAAGTTCAGCTTCCATTTACACAGGTTTGTATTGGTAAAATTTAAGAATTTGCAGAAAAGGAAATGAGAATTCACAGTTTTAGAAAATCTTTTATGACACAAAAGCCCCAGTTCTGTTTAAGGTCAATTCTTGAAACTACAAATCTAGAAATGTTTTTTATTAAGTTTTACAAGTAAAAAAGTCCGTAAGAGAGCCGGCCAGATAGCTCAGTGGACTAAAGCACCTGCTTAGGCACAGTGCAGTGGCCAGGGTTTTATCCCGGCATATGTGCTAGTCCTGCCTCCCCCAGCCAGCTGAGAAAGCCATTGAGACTGGGCAGAGTGGCGTGTGCCTGTAATCCCAGCGCTTGGGAGGCTGAAAAACAAGAAGGATCACTATAAGTCCAGTCTGTAGTGAGACTCTGTAGACCCTGTACTAAATATATTTTTAAAAAATAACAGTCCATAAGAATCAGGAGTCGAAACTGTGAGGATGAAGTCTGGCTTTCGTGGTAATGAACATACATTCCAATTTGTACTTGCAAATCTTTCCCCCAACAAAATTCTTAACTCCACACTCTCAGCATGGCTGTCCTGACTGTAAATTATGTTCCCATTTAGCTTCAACAGTGATCTCTCCCACAACTCATAGGACAGCAAATGCATTCAGCAAACAGTATTTTACCTGTATGCAAGAACAGCAAAAGTTCTATCTTTTTGAATTAAATTCCGCACCATACTGACTTCTTGAGGGCTAAAAAGCCGCAGAGGTAGAGTTTGCCCAGGAATCAGGATCATCATCACCTGGGGCAGAACTGGAATCACCTGACAGCTGTCATCATCGTGCAGGGTCCTACCATGGAACTCTTCCATGTCCGCACCCAGGTACTACCCAAGAACACAGACACAGTGTCATGGCTGAGATAGCAAAATAAAATCAGTGAACTAATCAAATCAGAGTCAAAGAAATACTGACAGTACAAATATTTATTTATCAAAAAAACTTGGTATATAAGCAGCCTACATAAAAATCTAATTTTTTAGCTAATATTTACTGTTAGAAGTAGAATTTTGCAATCTTTTAGGGAAAATGCTCACCTATACACAAATTCAAAAAACTTTTGTAAATCATTATGTCTTATTTTGACTGAGATAAGAAGTATCTCTATGTCCAAATATCAAAAATGAGAAGTATAAAAGGTTAACATGTTCAATAACACCCCAGAACTTAGTAGTACAGAGAATGCATACTTAATAGCTCAATTACTAACAAAACTATAAAGGAGAAAACTCCTAAAAGAATTTTTATAGAGTATTAAGCTTTGTAAAAATTAAGATTTTATATCTACTGGAAAACAGTAGTATTAAGTTACTAAGAAAAAACTGTTTATCTACTAGAATATAGTCCATGTTCTTATTGACAATTTTTAACATGAGATAAATCCAAAATAACTTAAATCAGTCTACTTTTTTAAAAGAAACTTTGACATATCTATTACATACTGTATGTGAGGTTGGCAGACTCGTGTCAAAATTTATGTTTGGTTTTTTGAGTTCTTTGCTATCCTGGTCTTCAACTTCCATTTCATCATCTTCACTCTCTGCTGCAGGAGTAGAATATTATTTTTTTTTTAAAAAAGTGAGAGATCTATAAAAATGTCTAATCTATGTCCCCTCTGAATTGCATCATTCCTTAAGAATCAGTGTTTCTGTAAACATCACATATATTTGGTTATCTTCACAGTACTGAGAAGTAACAGCTAGAGGGCTAGATTTCATTTTTTAAAAAAATCAACTTTATAGAAAGTTTAAGAGTTACAGAAATGTAGGAAAGATAGCACAGTTATTCCTATATATGCTACTTCCATTTACCTCTATAACGTATTTTTCACAAATAAGGAAACCAGTGCTGGGAAATTACTGTCTGCTGAATTCATTTTATTTCTGTTAGTTTTTAGCTAATCTTTTCTGTTAGAGGATCCTCTCCAGAATGGATTATATTTAGTTGTCATGGTCCTTTATCCTCTTCTGGGCAGATGGGATTTCTCAGACAATGGTTTTGAAGGCCTTTTAGAGTACTAGTGAGGTATTTATAGTCCCCTCAAGCATTTGACTGAGGTAATTCTCCTAGTTAGGCTAAGGTTATATATTTTGAGGAGGAAGAGGACAGAAGTGAAGTGCCATTCCCATCACAAATCAAGAGTACATCCTATCAACCTGACTTAATCAACCACTAATTTTAACTTGAATCATTTGGCTGAGGTAATGTTTGTCAAGTTATCTAATGTAAACTTACTTTTCTCTTCCTTTCAGTGTACTTTATGAAAGCAAATCACTTAAATGCCATCTACACTTAAGGGCAATGTAGGGAAAATATCTGCATAAATTCTTTGAAATTCCGTATGAGAAATTTTTCTCTTCTCTCTTGTGAGCAGTTAATTTTGATTCCCCAAACAATGTATTTCACCTACCCAACCCAAACTTCCTTATCTGAAAAATGACAGGCTTGAATAAGACAATATCTGAAGTTCTTTCACACTCTTTTAAGTGGTTCCCACAGGAGAAGAAAATGAAATAAATGAGCAAAAAAAAAAAAAAAAAAAAAAAAAAAAAAAAAAAAAAAGTGTCATTACAACCCAGCAGAAAGAATTTCATACTATTTTTCCAGGACACCACTTCTCTGGCTGTCACTATGCTTAATTATGAAATGTTTGCATTTATTTTCATAGAAATTGTGCTTTACAATTTTATATTTAAAAAGAGTTGACATGAAGCATTAAACATTTTTAAGGAAATTCTTAGAACATTTTCTCCACAGGTTAAGATTATGAAAACTACTCTGATCTACTTTATTTTTTTAAATAATTTTATTGAAAACAAATAGCAATGAGACAGTTTCAAAACTGATTAATAGGAGTTTCAGTAATACACTGCATATTGTTGTCTTTTTAGTGGTTATTCATAGTACAAGAAAGATACAGACATGATAGCCTATCCACAAACACTATTAGAACAAACCTCTTTATTCATTCATTGAATTAAGAGAAAGTATATATCTATCCTATTTTTTTTTTTTTTTTTTTCAGAACCGGGGATTGAACTCAGGTCCTTGTGCTTGCCAGGGAAGCACTTATTCCACTGAGCCAACTCCCCAGCCCCTCTATCCTATTTTGAATATACTGATACAAAATGGTCCTTCATTTGTATCCCCTTTTTTTGTTTAGTTTTGTCAGAGAAGAGTATTCCATTGTCATTTAAATAATGTAGGTGTGTGAATTCAGCAAAATAATCCAATATAGTCCAGCAGTCCATAATAGCAGTGGGTTTTCATAGGACTGGCAATGTCAGAAGTTGTTGACTGGAGCCTTTTACAGCTCAGCATATTAATACTGCTTTACTTTTTATACCTCATTTTCATACTTTTCTGTTGGATGGTTAAGATCAAGATAAAGCAAGACCTATAAAACAAGAAATGTAACTTTTTGTATCTGACAAGGTCAGTCAAATCCCCTCAGGATTTACTCTGAAAGATCCTTTGTCATTGTCAGCCATGTGGATGAGTCACGGCCATTTGCTCTCTGTGAAAGCCTCAGAGAATATTTTCTCTCCATGTGACTCTCCTTAGGCACATTCTACATCATCGATCACTTTCCTCTGTAGCCCTATAATCTCCTTGATCAGAAAATTTGGGACACAACTGAGTGAAAAGATGTTACAGTACAGGTTCTCCTATGTCCTGAGTCCTCACTGACCTTGAGAGGCTAGGGCCAAAATGTTGGCTGTCCTTACAGCCCTTCTTTTTCTCTAATTTTTGGTCTGCAAACTTAGGTTGTTAACTCTCCAGAAGAGAAGCTTATTATTATTACCTTACAACATAAGCAGTTGAGTTTTTTGTTGTTGTTGGGGTTTTTCTGTTTGTTTTGAGGAACTGGGGATTGAACTCAGGCCCTTATGCTTGCCAGGCAAGCGCTCATTCTATTGAGCCATCTCCCCGGCCCCATCTACTTTGAAACCTAATGTCTAAAGACAGGGATAAGAGTCAGAAGGGTAATCTGTCATTCTCATGTCAGCTATGGGTAATTTTGTATCCTTGACCAGTGATTCTGAGCCAGAGGTGATTTTGCCTCTCGGAGGATATTTAGAAATGTTTGAAGATATTTTATTTGTAATAAGCAGGATAATGCTACTTTAGAGTAGATGTCAAGGGATGTTGCTAAACAAGAAAGAATTCTCCTGTGTGACTTGTTGCAAGAAAGGCCGGCTTACACTAATTGTAAAAACTTACTGAATCTCAATTCTCCAACCTCCTTGTTCATGTATTTTTAAATTCCTCAAATAAATTTCCAAATACATAAACTGTCATTACAAAGCAGTTATGTTTTTCCTTTGTGCAATTATTTACATCAAACCATCTTGTTACATTCCTGACAGAAAATACAAATGTTTTACTATATAGCAGGTGCCTAAGACTTTCTATTTCTTTTGAATTCCTAGATATAAGACTTTATCAAGGAGAACATAATTATCTTCATTTAGATGCAGTCTAACACTTCATACATCTTTCCCTAAGAATAGAAGTTTCACCAAGTGGTAACAGAAAAATCTAAATTGATGAGAAAAAATATATGAATCTAATTTTTTAAATTTGTAACTTGGAAAGCACAGCTTTAGAGCTGGGCATGGGGAAAGGCCTAATTTATTTTTCTAGTTCAGAAAGTTTAAAAGATCAACTATTGCATCCCAAAGGCTAGAATATTTTTTAAAACTTTAAGTCTTGCAATCCACTCTAAAGAATTTCATTATATGTTGCATCCTTTCTCATAAATATGGCTAAAACCCACTTCCCTCAGCTGTGTTAATGTGTCAGTGTTTCATTTCACCTGAATAGGTTCTTTGCTTCTCAAATAATTTCCTTAGCACTTAAATGCTCTTCAACTCATAGCACATGGGTTTACCAGTGATCCAATAATTCTCTACAAATAAAATTCATACATAATTTGGGGGAAGTATATACATCTACAACACCTTTGGGCCCTCTGATTTTTTTTTTTTTTAGAAAAAAAATATGCTGACTTTTCAGAGCTACCGGGGTGAGGCCTGATGACTCATCTCATGCAGGAGCATTATGTGAATGCCAACTGAACATCAGTATCCTCCTCATCTCACCATTCTCCCTCAAACCCTGGATTTGGCACACACAGAGTGAGGCTGATGCCTCTGACAAAACAGCTCAGCTCTTCTATTGAGGACTGACACACTTACCTTTATGACCTCTCAGCTATGATAGCTTCAGGAACAACCAGAGTGACTCTGATCATGGTTTATTTTTACAGAAAAGGTGCCTCATACACAGTGTACATGCCCTCTGTCTCTTCCTCCTTCAACCCATGATACTCCCAGGGGACAAATACTCCAAAATTAATATTAGTAATGTTCCTTTAGGCAACAACATAAAATTTGAAAATGTTTCTCAGTAACCTTTAGGAAAAGCAGCTAATCTCACAGCAAGAGAAGAAAGTTGCCCAGCAATTTAGACCCAACCTACCTAAGTTGTACAACTGTATCTAGGTATATTTATGGATGTCTCCACACGTACCTCCTAAGGCTTTTCCCAATCCCAGACCCCTGAACCATACCCTTCTCCAAAGACGCACAACAGTGTTCATTTCTCTGGCCCCAAGTTAACTGTCTCTTGCTAGCTACTCCTCTCAACAGCCTCACTTAGATTGTGACCCTAAATATCGGACTGCACATCATACCGTTTTCCATTTCTGTACCAACTAACACAGTTCCTGGGATAATAATTAAGGGATTCACATAATAGTTTCTTTGACAGATGTACCTCTTGGAAAACATGTCTATAGCATTCTATATTTAGCTTGCACAATTATTCCATGCCTAGATATGGCTGAGGTCTAAATTCACCCAAAGCATAGAGGAAATACAACTTCACTTTATACTCTCTCCTCACTAGTCTTTGAAAAGAAGCGTATTCCTGCATGCCTGAGAAAGAGACACCCAACGCTGCCTTCCCAGAGAAGCGGTTAAGAGACACAGCTGCACTGACCGACCGACCCGCGCTGGAGCCCTGACTCTGCAGCTGAGTGACCTTGGGCCAGTCGCTGAACTAATCTGCCTGTGCCTTTCCCGCCTGCAAACAGAGCCACAGAGTGCTGGGGAGGTGTACACGCAGGAATCCACTCAGGAACAGCATTTAAGGAAGGGCGCTCGGCGGGCTTAAGTACCCAGTACCCAGTAGCTGTCACCCTTAGTAACAAAGACAGATGTCCGGGAAAAGGAACGCCTGCAAGCCTCACCCATCCCCCGCGCTCGCCGCGTCCAGCGCACAGACTAGGAGCCAGGCGGAGGACCCCGGGGAGGACGCGGGGG